ATCTGCAAGCCAAGGTAATTGCGCAGCTCACCAGGTTTGTGCACGTGTGTCTCTTCTGCAGCTCCGACTTCACCAGGGCGAGAGCCTCAGTGTCAGCAGTGGCAAAGACCAAGTCGTCGACGTACACGAGGATGAAGAACGGCGGCAGCGAAGTGTCGGTGCCCAGAAACAGCGACGGGTCAGCAGTCGACGGAGTAAACCCAAGAGCCGCAAGTGCCACTCACGTGGCGCCTGGCGGAGACCGTAGACTGGCCGCCGGAGGCTCCACTGGGTACCAGGAGGGAACGACCCAGTGAAGCCAGGTGGGCGGCGCAGCCAGATCTCATCGTGCAGGCTGCCCTGTAAGAAGGCTGTGCTGGATTCAAGAGAGTGAAGCTCGTAGTCACGCTGAGCGGCAACGTGCAGCAGCACCCGAAGAGTGGTCATCTTCGGGGTGGGGGAGAAGGTCTGGAAGAAGTCGACTCCCTCCCTCTGACTGAAGCCTCGAGCAACGTAACGAGCCTTGAAGACAGGCGGAGAACCTGGCGGCCGCTTCACCCTGAAAATCCACATGCCACTGACGATGTTCGCCCCAGGAGGGGGAACCTCGTCGACGTATGTGCATGTGGACTTCCAGGATGCCATCTCTGCGTCCATGGCTGTCTGCCACTGAGAGGAGTACTCACCCGCGATCGCCTCAGCGTAAGAGCGCGGGGTCGGGATGTCTGGAGCATCCGGGTCTTCCTCAGGGGCAAGCAGCATGGACACGAGATGAGGCGCAGCGGCTGCAAGACACTCAAGGTCCTCCTGCCTGTCCTCAAGGACGTCCGTGCTAAGGGCACACTCACCCCCGACGGACGGAGGACAGACAGACTCAGACTCAGAAACAAGACTAGCGGCGTAGTCTAGACGACAGGCAGCAGCAAAGTCAACAAGCTCAGCGACTAAGGCAGACGCAACAGCAGACTCAAACGACGGGTCAGTAAGAACTGTGGCTAGCAGACGCGTGACAGTAGGGTGCTCAGCACGAAACCGGTCAGACTCAGGCTCAGGAACGGTAGGCAGAGAAGACGCAGGAGGGGACGGCAGGGGAACACGCTGCGGAGGAGAGGAAGGACGACGGACTACGAGGTGGGTGCCGAAGACAGCCGGCTGACGCGAACGAGGAACACGACGACCAGAACGACCAGAACCGACAGGCGAGACAGGACGCGACGCAGGCTCACGACGCTCAGTAAGACCCCCTGTCTGCTCAGTGTAAGGAGAAGGAGCAGGCAGCGGTGAGCCAGGCTGTAACGGAAGACCAGTAGACGAAGGGAGACTAAGAACCCGGCGAAGCACAGAGTCAGACGGTGGCTGAGACGACGGAGACGGTGGAGCAAAGAACAGGCGCTGCTGTGCAGTGCCACCAGCACCAGCAGCTCCAGCACCTCCAGCAGCTCCAGCACCTCCAGCAGCTCCAGAACCCTCAGCGCCAGCTCCTCCAGGACCAGCTCCACCAGCAGCAGCACCCCCAGAACCGGCACCTCCAGTCCCAGGGTCTCCAGCCTCAGTGTCTCCAGCAGCAGCACCCTCAGGCTCAGCACCTCCAGCTCCAGCAGCTCCAGTACCTCCAGTACGAGCACCTCCGGGACCAGCACCACTCCCAGCTCCAGTGACGTCAGCAGAAGTACCTCCAGCGGCAGAGCCCCGAGCTCCAGAAGCGCGACCCTGACGGCGACCGTACCAGTCGTGCAGCTGCTGTGAGGTGAGAGGCACACGCGGACGAAGGCGGGCTACTCCAAGGAAACCGCGCAACAGCAGACTCAGAACCCTCAGCGCCAGCACCCGCAGTTGCTCCATAAACTCCAGCGCTAGCACCCGCAGCAGCTCCAGAACCTCCAGCGCCAGCACCCTCAGCAGCTCCAGAACCTCCAGCTCCAGCGCCACCAGCGCCAGCACCTCCAGCAGCTCCAGAACCTCCAGCAGAAACAACTCCAGTAGCAGAGTCACCCACTACAGTAAGCCCCGTCCGGGTTTGTTGCATGCCGGGCGGTGTGCATACAATGGTTGCGCCCGAAGGTGGTGTTGTCATTTCGCGAATTCACGTCGGTCGCACAGGGAAGTGTGCGCCGAGCTGGTGCTTCCGCGCGTGCCAGAGTGTGCTCCAGTTTCCACGGGCATACCTGGTGCAGGCGGAATTTCCAGGTGTCGAAATGGCGTCCCCTGGTGATGTTGATCGGACGGCTAAGCACATGCGTGTGGGGTGGGCCCGGACAATTCAGGAAGATATTAGATGCGTTCTGTTGGCGAGCCAGCAGAACGCAGCCTTGTATGCACATCCTCGCAAACTTTAAAAATCAATAGAATGAAATACCATTTGTACAAAACTATGATTGGATTTGTGCAATAAATATAGTTCCCCGCTTCCAGACGTATTCGACGACATAAAACCTCTTCAAAAGAAAAATGATGAGAAAATTTATACCTGAAAACAGTTGATGTATTTTTTGGAAACCCCTCGTCCCTCTCCACCCTAAACGATTGCCTACGAAATGATTTACATTTTTGTATTACATATAGTTTCTGTTTGATTGATTTTCTACAGTCCATTATTAAATTCGCAAAACTCACATTCCGTGTTCAGCACCACCTTTGGGCGAATCATATTGACGTCACTGCGCCAGTTCCCACACTGAGACTTGGCGCGGCGCGCAGATTCATCTGCCGCGCGGGCCAGTCACTGCACTCCGCGCTGCGCTGATGTCACATTCACATGCGCATGCCCTCGCCAAACTGTTTGCGTATGTCGGCAAATCTTGACGGTCAACATCTTCGATCCGAGGGCTGCGAAGCACCGACATCCCCAAACGGATGTCAGCGGATGTCAATGTTTCACTTCCGACACCCCCTAACCCTCCTCTCCCCACCGCCGCATTCTGTCGCCAGCGCGGCGCCTGGCGCAATCCTTCCCATCCCACGAACCCAAACCACTGACTGACACCACTTTGGGTTGACTCTGGTCTGGTCACCCTCAACTCAAGCCAACCTCACACCCAGCCAGAATCAGGCACCTGCGTCTGTCCCCATGGGGTTGACTCTGGTCACCCTCCACTCCAGCCAGCACCACCTCCATCCACATCCACCCAGAATCAGAGGCACCTCTCCCTACCGAGACCAAGCGACTATCCCACATTCCCAAGGCCCTTCCACTTGCTATCTCCCGCATTCTCATCATGCCAACTTCCTGCTCCAGGCCGCCATGGATTCCATGATCTACGTACTTTCGCTATGGCTCCCGTGTACGTGGAGTGATTCCGTAGTGTTTTTCACGGTAGTTTAGTTCGACATCTCTTGGAGTTCCGCTAAGCTGTTATCCAGCTTAAACAGCTCGACGGTTAGATGATTCACCCTGGAGGCTCATGTATCAGTATTTTCTGAATAGCGTCTGTGATCCTTACGGATCTTACGCCACTACTTCAGCCTTAATCGTCAACATCTCTCAGTGAACTATTAGGGTTAGCAAAGAACGGCTTCTTTTTGCAGCGAGAGCAGTGGACAGTCAGAGATGTCGGCAGAATCAGCGACGGGTCATCACCTTCTTGTGACGCTCGTCCGCTTTTGTTGGAAGCTCCGCTTGTCCGGTTCTGTTCGCTCGTCTAGGAAGCGTTCCAACTCTCCCTGTCGAGCAGATATTATCAGAGATAGCGACGGACAGTTTTCTCAACGGATTTGACGATGCTTGTGTTGTAGAGGCAGCTTGACGGTCGGAAAAGTTTCTGGAAGCTCAAAGTAGTAAGGCTACTTGACGGTTTCATTTCCACCTTTAGAGTCGCCGAAGAAAACGTTTCAGACTTGATAGTGTGTTGCTGCTCAGATCTTACTTTTACCTTGGAGCTCCTAGTAGCAGTCGAAGCGGTCTTGGGAGGATAGGAGTGCGCTCGCAACACACAAACAACGGCGTTTTCGTTTCATCCTCCTCAAAAACAGCGTTTCATGTCAACTAGAACGGCTACTAGTTGCGACAGCCTGTCGCGGAGCGACAAGCGGCGACAGTCGAGCTTCGAGCTGCGAGATGAAAGAAAAACGGAGCGAAGCGGGGGAAACGGCGAGCATCGATCGGAAAAGCGACGAGCAGCAACGTTGAAAGCGGGGAGCGGAAATCGGGAGCTGAATGCGCTGAGCTAACGGCGAGAAGCGAACTTAATTACCGAGCATCGAGCGGAAGGCGATGTGCGACGAAAATCGAGCATCTAGCAACGACGGACAAGCGGAACGACGAGCGACGCCGGGGGATGAGCGGTGACTGTTGACGAACGCGGCCATTGCTGAACGCTGAGCGACGAACGGCGACGCCAGTGACGAACGATGAGCGGTGACTGTTGACGAACGCGGCCATTGACTGAGGGGAGAACGGCGACTGTCGAACGCTGAACGACGATACGCGAACGCTGAACGGCGACTAATGACTGCTGAAACGCCGTGTAACGCGGCGACGAGGCGAGCAACGCTGCCGGTTGACGGTGACGGCTGACGGCGAGCGGAATCGGCGAGCGGGGAGGCAAAACAAGCGGAAACGGCGAGACGCGCAAGGAGCGGAATCGCCGAGACGCGACGAGCGGAATCGGCGAGATGGGACCAGCGGAATCGGCGAGACGCGACGGGCGGAATCGGCGCGACGCGACGAATGGTATCGGCACGACGCGACCAGCGGAATCGGCGAGACGCGACTGGCGAAATCGGCGCGAAGCGACGAACGGAATCGGCGCGACGCGACGAGCGGAATCGGCGCGACGCGACGAGCGGAATCGACGAGACGCGACGAGCGGAATCGGCGAGACGCGACGAGCGGAATCGGCGAGACGCGACGAGCGGAATCGGCGCGAGGCGACGAGCGGAATCGGCGCACGCATGGCGAACGGAGCGGAGCGACGAGCAAGGAGCAGACGTGGCGGTGGGTGAGGGCGCATGATTGCAGCTGATCTCATGTAGAGTCCAGAGGGTCTAGTGGGCGTGGCTTAGGATAGCAGTGCACTCATGCCATGCATGCGCGCGTCCCCCAGTCCCCCCTCGCTGCCTCAGCTCGCTGCTATGGTGCCATGCGCCTTCCCCCCCCCACGCCTCTCCACCCACTCACTTGTGCTGTGCTCACCGTTCACTCGCACTTCTCTCTTGTGACCGGTTTCACTTGTTTCCACTTGTTTCTTGCTCACTGCCGCTTGTTCGTGCTCTCTGCCTCTAGTTCTTGCTCTCACTGCCATTCTGTCTTGTGCTCTCTCTGTCTGTGTCTTGCCGCTCCCCTCGTACAGATCCACCAGAGGGCGGATCACACAGTGGGATGACGGCAGTGGGATGACGCACGGTGGGCACCAGTGCTGCTGGCCGCCCTGCTGACCACTGCTCGCCTCCTCTCAGGGAGCAGAGCGGACTCAAGGAGGCACACACGCGCGGAGCAGGCAGCGCAGGGTGCGCATGCAAGAGGAGCACGCCTGCATGCTCCATCGACCATCTTCAATCCGGCTAAGCTATCTCACTCAATTCGCACTGTGTTGTGCACGCACCACTCACTCACTCGCTCCCACTCGTGCCTTCCACTGCTTGCTTGCGCTCGCTCCCTCCTCCTCCTCTCGCCGCTCTCACGGGCGGCACAAAGGCCTCCCCAGGTGTGTGACAGCAGGCGACTGCCAGCGTAAGTGGTAACGTCAGGTGTGCTAAGGTACGGTACTGTCCTTGGTGCCCGCCCTGCAGCTGCCGCCGCCGCCGCCGCTGCCACCGCCACTCACGCCACTCACGCCACTCACGGCACTCTCACTGCTTGCGTCCTTCCATTATTCCTTGCTTGCATGCTTTCCGTTTTTCTGTTCTCTGACTTGCTAACGCCGTTCTAATCGCCTTCCCTCTCACCTCCCTTCTCTGCTCCGTGCACTTGTTCCCCTCTTCGCCTCTCCTCCTGCCAGCTTCCCTCTGCTTACACCCCCCTGCCAGCACACCTACAGGCCGGCAGCAGCAGAAGGCATGGAGGAGCAGTGGGAGCAGCGTGGCGAGCGGGAGAGGCGAGTGGTGGGATGACGCACGGCCTGGGCTGGCCCTGCTGACCACTGCCCTCGCCCAACCTCCCGGCAGCACCAGCGCGACCGACCGTGGCGTCTCTGAGTGGCGCTGCGGCAGCAGGGGCAGTGTGGCGGCAAGGAGAGGCGCATGGCCGTGTGGGTGCTGCACGCAAGCAAGGGGAGCACGCCTGCATGCTCCTTCGACCCTCTTCAATCCGGCTAAGCTATCTCACTCAATTCGCACTGTGCACGCACCACTCACTCACTCACTCGCACTCGTGCCTTGCGCTGCTTGCTTGCGCTCGCTCCCTCCTCCTCCTCTCGCCGCTCTCACGGGCGGCACCAAGGGACCCTCCCCAGGTGTGTGACAGCAGGCGACTGCCAGCGTAAGTGGTAACATCAGGTGTGCTAAGGTACGGTATTGTCCTTGGTGCCCGCCCTGCTGCTGCCACCGCCACCGCCGCTGCCACCGCCACTCACGCCACTCACGTCACGCACGCACCTTCACTGCTTGCATCCTTCCATTTTTCCTTCTTGCACGCTTTCCGGTTTTCCGTTCTCTGACTTGCTAACGCCGTTCTAATCGCCTTCCCTCTCACCTCCCTTCTCTGCTCCGTGCACTTGTTCCCCTCTTCGCCTCTCCTCCTGCCAGCTTCCCTCTGCCTACACCCCTCTGCCAGCACACCTACAGGGCGGCAGCAGCAGAAGGCATGGAGGAGCAGTGGGAGCAGCGTGGCGAGCGGGAGAGGCGAGTGGTGGGATGACGCACGGCCTGGGCTGGCCCTGCTGACCACTGCCCTCGCCCAACCTCCCGGCAGCACCAGCGCGACCGACCGTGGCGTCTCTGAGTGGCGCTGCGGCAGCAGGGGGAGTGTGGCGGCAAGGAGAGGCGCATGGCCGTGTGGGTGCTGCACGCATGCAAGGGGAGCACGCCTGCATGCTCCTTCGACCCTCTTCAATCCGGCTAAGCTATCTCACTCAATTCGCACTGTGCACGCACCACTCACTCACTCGCTCGCGCTCGTGCCTTGCGCTGCTTGCTTGCGCTCGCTCCCTCCTCCTCCTCTCGCCGCTCTCACGGGCGGCACCAAGAGACCCTCCCCAGGTGTGTGACAGCAGGCGACTGCCAGCGTAAGTGGTAACGTCAGGTGTGCTAAGGTACGGTACTGTCCTTGGTGCCCGCCCTGCAGCTGCCACCGCCACCGCCGCTGCCACCGCCACTCACGCCACTCACGCTCCCTCACTGCTTGCATTCTTCGTTCTTCCTTGCTCGCATGCTTTCCGTTTTCCGTTCTGTCACTTGCGTACGCCATGCTAATCGCCTTCCCTCTCACCTCCCTTCTCTGCTCCGTGCACTTGTTCCCCTCTTCGCCTCTCCTCCTGCCAGCTTCCCTCTGCCTACACCTCTCTGCCAGCACACCTACAGGCCGGCAGCAGCAGGGAGCATGGAGGAGCAGTGGGAGCAGCGTGGCGAGCGGGAGAGGCGAGTGCTCGCGTACTTGAGGCGCGGAGGCAGAGGTAGCTACGGGGCGGTGGGATGACGCACGGCCTGGGCATGCCCTGCTGACCACCGCTGCCAGCACCTCCCAGCAGCAGCAGCAGCAGCAGACATTGAGGATTGGACATTGAGGCTTGGACATTGAGGCTTGGGCATTGAGCCTTGGACATTGAGGCTTGGACATTGAGGCTTGGACATTGAGGCTTGGGCATTGAGCCTTGAACATTGAGCCTTGGACATTGAGGCTTGGACATTGAGGCTTGGACATTGAGGCTTGGACATCGAGGCTTGGACATTGAGGCTTGGACATTGAGGCTTGGACATTGAGGCTTGGACATTGAGTCTAGGACATTGGCTAGCTAGGGGCAGTGCCCTGAGGCAAGCAGGCAGAGGCTCAAGTGTGTGAGGCACACGCGGCAACGGCAAGGGCGAGCTCGACTGGTGAGTGCATGGCAGCAAGGTGTGGCTGGGCGCCCTCCCCACACCAGCAGCAGCAAGGCGGAGTGTGCCTGCCCTCCCCACACCAGCAGCAGCAAGGCGGAGTGTGCCTGCCCTCCCCACACCAGCAAGGTACGCGCTCGTGCGTTGCTGCAGCACCTTGAGCGCGCCACCTTCGGGACTGACAAGACCCCGCCTTGCTGCAGACTGCAGCACCTCCAGCGCACACATTCACGGTACGCTTCCTTGCTTGTTCACGGTTCCTAGACTTACCACCGTGCTTGTTGTTCCATGCAGCGCTCTCAACGCAAGCGCATGCAAGGGGGGGGGGAAGCGTATGGGCGTGTGGCTGAGGTGGACGGCACATGGCTGACGTGGACGCGAGCGTGGTGGGATGACGCACGGCCGGCAGTCACAGGCGTGTGACTGCCTCCTACCCGCCCTGCTGACCACGCGCTCGGAGGCAAGGTGCGGAGGAGCAGCCGAGGAGGCGGCGAGGTGGAGTGGGGCGATGGGTGGGTGGAGGAGGATGGGTGGGTTGCTTGATTGGGCTGGGTTGCTTGATTGGGCTGGGTTGCTTGATTGGGCTGGGTTGCTTGGTTGGAGGAGATGATGAGGAGCCAGGGCTGCGGGAGAGGAGGAGGCGGCACTTGAGGCGAGGAGGCGATGAGGAGGCTGCTTGATTGGGGTGGGTTGCTTGCTTGATTGGGGTGGGTTGCTTGATTGGGGTGGGTTGCTTGATTGGGGTGGGTTGCTTGATTGGGGTGGGTTGCTTGATTGGGGTGGGTTGCTTGATTGGGGCGGGTTGCTTGATTGGGGTGGGTTGCTTGATTGGGGTGGGTTGCTTGATTGGGGCGGGTTGCTTGATTGGGGCGGGTTGCTTGATTGGAGTGGGTTGCTTGCTTGATTGGGGTGGGTTGCTTGATTGGGGTGGGTTGCTTGATTGGGGTGGGTTGCTTGATTGGGGTGGGTTGCTTGATTGGGGTGGGTTGCTTGATTGGGGCGGGTTGCTTGATTGGGGCGGGTTGCTTGATTGGGGCGGGTTGCTTGATTGGGGCGGGTTGCTTGATTGGGGCGGGTTGCTTGATTGGGGCGGGTTGCTTGATTGGGGCGGGTTGCTTGATTGGGGCGGGTTGCTTGATTGGGGCGGGTTGCTTGATTGGGGCGGGTTGCTTGATTGGGGCGGGTTGCTTGATTGGGGCGGGTTGCTTGATTGGGGCGGGTTGCTTGATTGGGGCGGGTTGCTTGATTGGGGCGGGTTGCTTGATTAGGGTGGCGGCAGTGGGATGGAGGCAGTGGGATGACGCACGGCAGGCAGGCGAGGAGGGAGAGGTGCCGCTGCTGGCGAGCGCGCCTGCATGCAGCTTCGACCCCTCCTCAATAAGGCTAAGAAAATCTCCCTTCTCTTGTTATTTTCACGCAATTTGCCGTCACTGCCACCACCACCTCCACTCATGTTACTCATTGCCTTGATCCCCCCCGTGTTAATCGCTGCCTTGATTTTCCCCGTGTTAATCACTGCCTTGATTCCCCCCGTGTTAATTACTGCCTTGATTCCCCCCGTGTTAATCACTGCCTTGATTCCTTCCCCCCGTGTTAATCACTGCCTTGATTCCCCCCGTGTTAATCACTGCCTTGATTCCCCCCGTGTTAATCACTGCCTTGATTCCCCCCGTGTTACTGCCTTGATTCCCCCCGTGTTACTGCCTTGATTCCCCCCGTGTTACTGCCTTGATTCCCCCCGTGTTACTGCCTTGATTCCCCCCGTGTTACTGCCTTGATTCCCCCCGTGCTAATCACTGCCTTGATTCCCCCCGTGTTAATCACTGCCTTGATTCCCCCCGTGTTCATCACTGCCTTGATTCCCCCCGTGTTACTGCCTTGATCCCCCCCGTGTTACTGCCTTGATTCCCCCCGTGTTAATCACTGCCTTGATTACCCCCGTGTTAATCACTGCCTTGATTCCCCCCGTGTTCATCACTGCCTTGATTCCCCCCGTGTTACTGCCTTGATTCCCCCCGTGTTACTGCCTTGATCCCCCCCGTGTTACTGCCTTGATTCCCCCCGTGTTACTGCCTTGATTCCCCCCGTGTTACTGCCTTGATTCCCCCCGTGTTACTGCCTTGATTCCCCCCGTGTTAATCACTGCCTTGATTCCCCCCGTGTTAATCACTGCCTTGATTCCCCCCGTGTTCATCACTGCCTTGATTCCCCCCGTGTTCATCACTGCCTTGATTCCCCCCGTGTTACTGCCTTGATTCCCCCCGTGTTACTGCCTTGATTCCCCCCGTGTTAATCACTGCCTTGATTCCCCCCGTGTTAATCACTGCCTTGATTCCCCCCGTGTTCATCACTGCCTTGATTCCCCCCGTGTTACTGCCTTGATTCCCCCCGTGTTACTGCCTTGATTCCCCCCGTGTTACTGCCTTGATTCCCCCCGTGTTACTGCCTTGATTCCCCCCGTGTTACTTCCTTGATTCCCCCCGTGTTCATCACTGCATTGAGCCTTGAGACATTGAGCCTTGAGACATTGAGACATTGAGCCTTGAGACATTGAGACATTGAGCCTTGAGACATTGAGACATTGAGCCTTGAGACATTGAGACATTGAGCCTTGAGACATTGAGACATTGAGCCTTGAGACATTGAGACATTGAGCCTTGGGAGGTACTGCACTGCACTGCAGCGTGTTCAGCACTGCCTTGAGCGCTGCAGCGACGGGGAGGCAGCGATGGGCGGCAGCTACGGTCGGCAATGCGAAGGAGGCGGCACGGCGGGGAGGAGAGGCGCTTTCCGCTTAATCATCTCTCACCTAGGCACGTGTGGGAGCGAGCGTGTTGGGATGACGCACGGCCGGTAGTCACAGGCGTGTGGCTGCCTCCTACCCGCCCTGCTGACCACGCGCTCGGAGGCAAGGTGCGGAGGAGCAGCCGAGGAGGCGGCTAGGAGGCAAGGAGGCAAGGAGGAGGCAAGGAGGATGCAAGGAGGCAAGGAGGAGGCAAGGAGGAGGCAAGGAGGCAAGGAGGCAGGGAGGAGGCAAGGAGGAGGCAAGGAGGAGGCAAGAAGCAAGTGGTTTCTTCCTTGCCGTGTGTCGTGACGCCCTGCTATGGCTGAGGCACGACAAGAAGATGCAGACCGCAGAGAGGAGGCTGCTGCACCTGGGGACGGCAGAGAGGAGGCTGCGGCACCTGGGGACGGCAGAGAGGAGGCTGCGGCACCTGGGGACGGCAGAGAGGAGGCTGCTGCACCTGGGGACGGCAGAGAGGAGGCTGCGGCACCTGGGGACGGCAGAGAGGAGGCTGCTGCACCTGGGGACGGCAGAGAGGAGGCTGCTGCACCTGGGGACGGCAGAGAGGAGGCTGCGGCACCTGGGGACGGCAGAGAGGAGGCTGCGGCACCTGGGGACGGCAGAGAGGAGGCTGCTGCACCTGGGGACGGCAGAGAGGAGGCTGCGGCACCTGGGGACGGCAGAGAGGAGGCTGCGGCACCTGGGGACGGCAGAGAGGAGGCTGCGGCACCTGGGGACGGCAGAGAGGAGGCTGCGGCACCTGGGGACGGCAGAGAGGAGGCTGCTGCACCTGGGGACGGCAGAGAGGAGGCTGCTACACCTGTGGACGGCAGAGAGGAGGCTGCGGCACCTGGGGACGTCAGAGAGGAGGCTGCTGCACCTGGGGACGGCAGAGAGGAGGCTGCTGCACCTGGGGACGGCAGAGAGGAGGCTGCTGCACCTGGGGACGGCAGAGAGGAGGCTGCGGCACCTGGGGACGTCAGAGAGGAGGCTGCTGCACCTGGGGACGGCAGAGAGGAGGCTGCTGCACCTGGGGACGGCAGAGAGGAGGCTGCTGCACCTGGGGACGGCAGAGAGGAGGCTGCGGCACCTGGGGACGGCAGAGTGGAGGCTGCTGCACCTGGGGACGGCAGAGGAGGCTCTGGGCTTCCCAGCTCTCCCACACTCGTGAGTTACATACCTTGCCAAACTTGCCTCACTCTTTCTTGACTTGTCTGTCCACTTTCACCCTTACTGCCCTTACCCTTGCCGCCTTTGCCGTTGCTGCCTTCACCATTACTGCTTCACCGTTTCTGCCTTGACCCTTTGTGCTCGATCCTTTCGCTCACTCACCCCTCATCTCTCCTGTCCACCCGTCCCAGCCATCTGCTCCCACAGGCTCTTGTGCTCGTGAGGTGGCAGGAAGCTGGCCGCCCTCCCCACACCAGCAGCAGCAAGGCGGAGTGTGCCTGCCCTCCCCACACCAGCAGCAGCAGAGGCGAGCGGCAGCTGGGGAACAGTGGAGGGGGGAGGGAGTGCAGCAAAGAAAGGGGTGTGGAGGTGAGTCGACCCAGTCACTCCTGACATTCCTGATCCGTTTTTCTGCTTGCCATTCGCACTTGCAACATCTTTGGCTCAAAACAATATCCTTTTTCTTTCCTTTGGCTCGTGGCAGGTCGAGGGGCAGAGGAGGGGAGCACTTGAGTGGAGCAGAGGAAATATGGAAGTGGGTGAGGAGGGGAGCATGCAGCTGAAGCAGAGGCAGTGGCGAGCAGCATCAGGGGAGCAGTGGAGGAGAGCAGAGGGAGTAGACCAGAGAAAGCTGTGTGGAGGTGAGTCGAGCCCACGTGACATTCCTCTCTGTGCCCTGCCTGACCAGTCCTGCTTTCCTGTTCCACATGAGACCATGTCATTCAATCCTTTTCCTCCTTGCTCTTCGTTCTCCTTGGTCATGGCAGGTCGGAGCAGAGGTGGGGAGAGTAGGAGGGGAGCAGAGGAGGGGAGCGGAGGAGGGGAGCAGGGAAGGGGAGAAGACGTGGGTAAAAGAGGAGGCGAGCAGAGGATGGCAAGCAGATGAAGGAGCGTGGAGGTGAGTGGAGCCCACCTGGCATTCCTTGCTGCGCCATCAAAAATCTGGTGAGATCCGAGCCATCATAGAATCCTCCTTTTTCAGGCTCCTCATAATCGAATTCTGTTCCTCTCTCCTTGGCTTGTGGAGCAGAAGCAGAGGGGGTTAGCTGAAGCAGAGGAAGCAGCAGCAGAGGGGACAGCGAAGCAGAGGGGGTTAGCTGAAGCAGAGGGAACAGAAGGGGAGATAAAACGGGGGGCTATAAAGCAGAGGGTGGGAAACCTGGGCGCCCAGGTTCCCCACCCTTCAAAATGTTCTACCCGCCCAAGTTTCCCACTCAGAGGGTGGGAGACCTGGGCGCCTATCAATGTGTTCCCGAGGAATATAGCCATTATCACGGCTATATCCCTTTCCTGCCATTATAATGGCAGTATTTCCTTTGAAATTACTCTCTTTCTATTCCCCTTAGGGAACTACTATGATGATGCTTCTCATGATGTGGTAATCTGTGGGCGTAGAAACAGCTTGGCAGCAGTACTGGGGTGTTAGCACATGCGTTGTGCCTTCTTCCCTGGACAACCGAAGCAGTTCCCTGTGGCAGTCAAGGCAGGAGGATGAAGAACACATTCGCTAGAGCTGAACCGGTTACATGGGCTATACTGGATTTCAGGGACAGCAGCTGCAGGGACGCTAACTATAGGGACACTAACTGCAGGGACACTAGATACAAGGACGATAACTGCAGGGACACTAGATACAAGGACGCTAACTGCAGGGACACTAGATACAAGGACGCTAACTGCAGAGACGCTAACTTCAATATGTTTTACCCGCCCAGGTTTCCCACTCAGAGGGTGGGAGACCTGGGCGCCTATCAATGTGTTCCCGAGGAATATAGCCATTGTCACGGCTATATCCCTTTCTAGCCATTATAATGGCAGTATTTCCTTTGAAAATCACTCTCTTTCTATTCCCCTTAGGGAACTACTCGGATGATGCTTCTCATGATGTGATAATCTGTGGGCGTAGAAACAGCTTGGCAGCAGTACTGGGGTGTTAGCACATGCGTTGTGCCTTCTTCCCTGGACAACCGAAGCAGTTCCCTGTGGCAGTCAAGGCTGGAGGATGAAGACCACATTCGCTAGAGCTGAACCGGTTACATGGGCTATACTGGATTTCAGGGACAGCAGCTGCAGGGACGCTAACTATAGGGACACTAACTGCAGGGACACTAGATACAAGGACGATAACTGCAGGGACACTAGATACAAGGACGCTAACTGCAGGGACACTAGATACAAGGACGCTAACTGCAGAGACGCTAACTTCAATATGTTTTACCCGCCCAGGTTTCCCACTCAGAGGGTGGGAGACCTGGGCGCCTATCAATGTGTTCCCGAGGAATATAGCCATTGTCACGGCTATATCCCTTTCTAGCCATTATAATGGCAGTATTTCCTTTGAAAATCACTCTCTTTCTATTCCCCTTAGGGAACTACTCGGATGATGCTTCTCATGATGTGATAATCTGTGGGCGTAGAAACAGCTTGGCAGCAGTACTGGGGTGTTAGCACATGCGTTGTGCCTTCTTCCCTGGACAACCGAAGCAGTTCCCTGTGGCAGTCAAGGCTGGAGGATGAAGACCACATTCGCTAGAGCTGAACCGGTTACATGGGCTATACTGGATTTCAGGGACAGCAGCTGCAGGGACGCTAACTATAGGGACACTAACTGCAGGGACACTAGATACAAGGACGATAACTGCAGGGACACTAGATACAAGGACGCTAACTGCAGGGACACTAGATACAAGGACGCTAACTGCAGAGACGCTAACTTCAATATGTTTTACCCGCCCAGGTTTCCCACTCAGAGGGTGGGAGACCTGGGCGCCTATCAATGTGTTCCCGAGGAATATAGCCATTATCACGGCTATATCCCTTTCCTGCCATTATAATGGCAGTATTTCCTTTGAAATTACTCTCTTTCTATTCCCCTTAGGGAACTACTCGGATGATGCTTCTCATGATGTGATAATCTGTGGGCGTAGAAACAGCTTGGCAGCAGTACTGGGGTGTTAGCACATGCGTTGTGCCTTCTTCCCTGGACAACCGAAGCAGTTCCCTGTGGCAGTCAAGGCTGGAGGATGAAGACCACATTCGCTAAAGCTGAACCGGTTACATGGGCTATACTGGATTTCAGGGACAGCAGCTGCAGGGACGCTAACTATAGGGACACTAACTGCAGGGACACTAGATACAGGGACACTAACTGCAGGGACACCAACTTCAGTATGTTCTACCCGCCCAGGTTTCCCACTCAGAGGGTGGGAGACCTGGGCGCCTATCAATGTGTTCCCGAGGAATATAGCCATTGTCACGGCTATATCCCTTTCTAGCCATTATAATGGCAGTATTTCCTTTGAAAATTACTCTCTTTCTATTCCCCTTAGGGAACTACTCGGATGATGCTTCTCATGATGTGATAATCTGTGGGCGTAGAAACAGCTTGGCAGCAGTACTGGGGTGTTAGCACATGCGTTGTGCCTTCTTCCCTGGACAACCGAAGAAGTTCCCTGTGGCAGTCAAGGCAGGAGGATGAAGACCACATTCGCTAGAGCTGAACCGGTTACATGGGCTATACTGGATTTCAGGGACAGCAGCTGCAGGGATATTAACTACAGGGACGTTAAGTGCAGGAACTCTTAACTCCAGGGACCTTCCAGCCATTATATGTCCTGACCATTGCGTGGGAGATCAATTCTTCCAGGCAGTGCTTTGGAAACTACCTGGGAGCCACCCTCCAAGGGGTTAGGTGTGCAGAGGGGGTCAGCTGAAGCAGAGGAAGCAGCGAATCAGAGGGGACAGCGAAGCACAGGGGGTTAGCTGAAGCAGAGGGAACAGAAGGGGTGACAGAAATGGGGGGCTGAAAAGCAGAGGGTGGGAAACCTGGGTGCTAGGTTCCCCACCCTTCAATATGTTCTACCCACCCAGGTTTCCCACTCAGAGGGTGGGAGACCTGGGCGCCCATCAATGTGTTTCCGAGGAATATCGCCATTATCGCGGCTATATTCCCTTCCTGCCATTATTATGGCAGTCTTTCCTTTGGTAGTATATGCACAAAGTATAGGGCTCGTGCACCAAGGCACACTAACTACAGGGACAGCAACTGCAGGGACGTTAACTGCAGGGACGCTAATTACAGGGACGTTACGATAGTTACAGGGACATAGAAACGCTAACTACAGGGTCGCTCAGTAGGGACGGAGGGGGCAGGCAGGAATGATAATTACAGGGACACTAACTACAGGGCGTGTGTTTAAGGCACGCTAATTACAGGGATGCTAACAGCAGGGTTAAGTACAGTGCTTGTGTACCAACGCAAGCTAACTACAGGTTCCCCTTTGGGACCTACCCTTCTTTTTCGGCCGTTGGGCCAGGTGTTACACCACCTGGTCTGAGCATGGCTTGTGGGACGCCTCAGCCCTGCTCGTGCTGCGGGGCTGCGAACGTGGACGGCAGCTACGGCAGAGGGAGCATAGGGAGCAGCGAAGCAGAGGGGGTAGCTGCTTGTGTTGCGGGGCTGCGAACGTGGACGGTAGCTACGGTGGTGGGTATTCGGTAAACCGCTGCTGTCTGTTTTCGTTTTGTTAACTATCCCCCCGTTGTTCCCATGCAGGTCCCACACGAAGGGTCCCCACCTCAACGTGGTGTGTGGGTGTAACACTAGGGGTTAACCCCCCTAGTGGCCAAGAGGGGCCCAGAAGACCCAAGACCCTGGCACGCTTCATAATTGCTTATGAAGCAGAGAAGGCCAGGCCAGCTGAAGCAGAGGGGGTTAGCTGAAGCAGAGGAAGCAGCGAAGAAGAGGGGGTTAGGTGTGCACAGGAGGTTAGCTGAAGCAGGAAGCAACGAAGCAGATGGGAATAACTGAAGCAGAGGAAGCAGCGAAGAAGAGGGGGTTAGGTGTGCACAGGAGGTTAGCTGAAGCAGGAAGCAACGAAGCAGATGGGAATAACTGAAGCAGAGGAAGCAGCGAAGAAGAGGGGGTTAGGTGTGCACAGGAGGTTAGCTGAAGCAGGAAGCAACGAAGCAGATGGGAATAACTGAAGCAGAGGGAGCAGAAAGGGTGATAAAAAAGGGGGGCTAAAAAGCAGAGGGTGGGAAACTTGGGCGCCCAAGTTTCCCACCCTTCAGTATATTCTACCCGCCCAGGTTTCCCACTCAGAGGGTGGGAGACCTGGGCGCTCATCAATATATTGCCAAGGAATATAGCCATTATCACGGCCATATTCCTTTCCTGCCATTATTATGGCAGTATTTCCTTTGGCAGTACTTCCTATGATTCTTCTCATGATGTGGTAATCTGGGGTGTTAGCACATGCGTTGTGGTATACTGGACTCCAGGGACCATGACACACTAACTACAGGGACACTAACTGCAGGGACCCGAGATACAGGGAAGCTAACTGCAGGGACCCTAGATACAGGGACGCTAATTACAGGGACCCTAGATACAGGGACGCTAACTGCAGGGACCCTAGATACAGGGACGCTAACTGCAGGGACCCTAGATACAGGGACGCTAACTGGAGGGACCCTAGATACATGGACATTAAGTGCAGGGACTCTAACTACAGGGACATTAAGTGCAGGGACTCTAACTACAGGGACGTTAAGTGCAGGGACTCTAACTACAGGGACGTTAAGTGCAGGGACTCTAACTACAGGGACATTAAGTGCAGGGACTCTAACTACACGGACATTAAGTGAGTGGACTCTAACTACAGGGACATTAAGTGCAGGGACTCTAACTACAGGGACATTAAGTAGGGACTCTAACTACAGGGACATTAGGTGCAGGGACGATAACTACAGGGACATTAAGTGCAGGGACTCTAACTACAGGGACTTCCCTTCAGGGCTTCACGTAAAGCGAGGCGGGTGAGCAAGAGGGGGAAGCGCGGCGGGGCAGCAAGAGGAGCTTCTCTGCTTAATCCCCGCCTTCCTTCCCTTTAGGGCTTCACGTGGAGTGAGGAGGGCGAGGAGGGCGAGGGGGCAGCGCGCGGGGGGCAGCAAGAGGCATCCCTATGCATAATCCCCCCCTTCCATTCCCTTCAGCATGGCGGGCAGCGCGGAGACGACACGGCGGGCGGCACGGACGGAGGTGAGGTGCTGCTTCATCGCTGCAGCGAGGTAACCTTCTTCCCTTGTCCGTTTCCGCATTGCTTTCTTTCAGTTTTTCGCATTACATGTATTTGTCGTGCTTGTTTCACTTGATCCTTTTTTTCCTGTTTGTCTCTCTAACCCCCCCCCCTTACATTCCCTTCAAGTCGACTCGTGGGGCGAGGAGGGCGAGGGGGCAGCGCGCGGGGGGCAGCAAGAGGCGTCCCTATGCATAATCCCCCCCTTCCATTCCCTTCAGCATGGCGGGCAGCGCGGAAACGACACGGCGGGCGGCACGGACGGAGGTGAGGTGCTGCTTCATCGCTGCAGCGAGGTAACCTTCTTCCCTTGTCCGTTTCCGCATTGCTTTCTTTCAGTTTTTCGCATTACATGTATTTGTCGTGCTTGTTTCACTTGATCCTTTTTTTCCTGTTTGTCTCTCTAACCCCCCCCCCTTCCATTCCCTTCAAGTCGACTCGTGGGGCGAGGAGGGCGAGGGGGCAGCGCGCGGGGGGCAGCAAGAGGCGTCCCTATGCATAATCCCCCCCTTCCATTCCCTTCAGCATGGCGGGCAGCGCGGAAACGACACGGCGGGCGGCACGGACGGAGGTGAGGTGCTGCTTCATCGCTGCAGCGAGGTAACCTTCTTCCCTTGTCCGTTTCCGCATTGCTTTCTTTCAGTTTTTCGCATTACATGTATTTGTCGTGCTTGTTTCACTTGATCCTTTTTTTCCTGTTTGTCTCTCTAACCCCCCCCCCTTCCATTCCCTTCAAGTCGACTCGTGGGGCGAGGAGGGCGAGGGGGCAGCGCGCGGGGGGCAGCAAGAGGCGTCCCTATGCATAATCCCCCCCTTCCATTCCCTTCAGCATGGCGGGCAGCGCGGAGACGACACGGCGGGCGGCACGGACGGAGGTGAGGTGCTGCTTCATCGCTGCAGCGAGGTAACCTTCTTCCCTTGTCCGTTTCCGCATTGCTTTCTTTCAGTTTTTCGCATTACATGTATTTGTCGTGCTTGTTTCACTTGATCCTTTTTTTCCTGTTTGTCTCTCTAACCCCCCCCCCTTCCATTCCCTTTAAGTCGACTCGTGGGGCGAGGAGGGCGAGGGGGCAGCGCGCGGGGGGCAGCAAGAGGCGTCCCTATGCATAATCCCCCCCTTCCATTCCCTTCAGCATGGCGGGCAGCGCGGAGACGACACGACGGGCGGCACGGACGGAGGTGAGGTGCTGCTTCATCGCTGCAGCGAGGTAACCTTCTTCCCTTGTCCGTTTCCGCATTGCTTTCTTTCAGTTTTTCGCATTACATGTATTTGTCGTGCCTGTTTCACTTGATCCTTTTTTTCCTGTTTGTCTCTCTAACCCTTCCCCCCTTCCATTCCCTTCAAGTCGACTCGTGGGGCGAGGAGGGCGAGGGGGCAGCGCGCGGGGGGGCAGCAAGAGGCGTCCCTATGCATAATCCCCCCCTTCCATTCCCTTCAGCATGGCGGGCAGCGCGGAGACGGCACGGCGGGCGGCACGGACGGAGGTGAGGTGCTGCTTCATTGCTGCAGCGAGGTAACCTTCTTCCCTTGTCCGTTTCCGCATTGCTTTCTTTCAGTTTTTCGCATTACATGTATTTGTCGTGCCTGTTTCACTTGATCGTGTGTTGTGTTTGTCTTGTGGTGTGTGTCGCTCTGCAGCTGGCAGGGTCCAAGACCGAAGACCGCCTCCGACTGCGGCATAGGTGTTGTGCGGCAGGGGTTGCTGACGGCGTTGGGACGGACGCCTCCCGCGCCTGAAGCGCCCCTGTGTGTGAGTTGAGTGTTCTGACGAGGGATGGGGGGACGCTCCCTGAACTCTGATGGCCTCCTCACCCCGCCTTCGCCTGGCCAGGTGTTACGCCACCTGGTCTGAGTTGGGCTTGTGGGACGCTGCAGCCCGGCTCGTGTCGTTTAGGGGCTGCGGACGGCGACAACGACAACGGTGGGTAAGGTATCGGTGAGTCGCTCTGCTCGTCGTTTTTTTTTTTTTTTCTAACCTAAACCGCCGTGGTTTCCATGCAGGTCCCACACGAAGGGTCCCCACCTCAACGTGATGTGTGGGTGTAACACTAGGGGTTAACCCCCCCTAGTGGCCAAGAGGGGCCCAGAAGACCGAAGACCATGGCGCGCTATGTTATTGTCCGAATTATTTTATATTTATATAATTGCCTAAATAGTGATAGATCTGGTTAGGCCATTAATCAGACAACTAGGTATCAGCAGGGACTATTGAAAATAGGTAGCTCAACGCACACCAGGGAAGCACATGCTGCAGTGTTGCAACAAACCTGAAATTACAATAAGGACCTCTAACATCTCAGTTTTGGGAGACCTTCAACATTCAGTACATTATTACCTGCAAACCAATCAGGAACATGCAATGCAACAGAGGGTAGTTCCTTCTGACATGGCAACATGTCCTCTACATGGGGCATTGCTAATTGTGTTGCTACTTCTGGCAATGCTGTGTGCTGCTCTGCTCACCCAACAGAGACTAATGGAAGTCCAATGACAGCACCAAGAATGCCACTACCGGTATCAGAAACACGATGTAATCATGTTACCAGCACTACGCGCGACAGGCAGCAACTAACAGATCTCCTTCCTGATGCCAGCTCTTGTCTTCAGCTCCACCTTCCAGCTTGCGCTCTCCTGTGCAGCTGCGATAAGCTATCCAGCAAACAACGCTGCAGAACTGCGTTCATTCTCTCAAGTATACCCGGCATTGCCCCCCCGCTACGCCTCAGAAGGAGCAGCGTATGCCTGGGCCCCCACAACAGGCCCAGCCATGTTCCAGTCCAGAAGCTTCCTTCCTGACCCCCAGAAGCTTCCAAGGCTGAGCCCAATGATAGACATGAGCACGACAGAGACAGAGGCCGTCCTCACTGTCAGTGTCATTCACCCACTGTCTCATCCACGCCCCTCCTCACTACTGCCAGCCAACTACACGCCTCCCTCCCTAGAGCCGAGTGCTGAGCCCAATGATAGACATGAACACGACAGAGACAGAGGCCGGGACCGTGTGGGTAGACCCTAGGAACTGAGATGCCAGCAGCATGGCAAGAGTGCTGCTCTGCATGCCACCGCACAGAGACAAAGTCCTCGCCACGTCATCGCTCTGCCCCATTCCCGGCAGCTTCGCGGACCAGAATCCAGCGGCGAAGGACGCGAGGTGGAAGGCGAGGACGGGCGGGAGCAGCAGGAGACCGCTCAGGCACACGATTTGGGACCTGTTGATGGCTAGGGGGCTGCCTACGCAGAGGGAGGTACAGACTATGGCTAGCAGCGGCATGATTGGTCGACTCTGGTCGACGAATTTCCGCGCGTAGGTGTTTAGGATTAGGCCGAGGGAGACGGGGAGGATGACGACTTGCAGGATTGATTTGGCCATTGCTAGGAGGTCGACGGGGACGGCTGAGCCAATCAGGAGCGAGGTGAGGATGGGCGTGAGCGCCACGGAGGCGAAGGTGCTGAGGCTGGTGAGCACGATGCAGAGCGTCACGTCAGCCTTTGCCAGGTAGGACGCGTAGCTGGAGAGCTGCGCGCCGGACACGCTGGCCGTGAGGAGGAAGCCCTCGGAGGCAAACGCGGGCGAGCGGGCTTGAAGGGACGGACCTGCGAGGCAGAGCAGAAGGGAGAGAGAGATAGAGAGATAGTAAGAGGGCAGCAGGGAGTGACTCGTGCAACAGGGAGGGCAGGGCGGGAAGGAAAGGCAGGAGAAAAGTGTCAAACACACGTGCAACAGCAGAAACGACAGTGCATGTGACGCCAACCACAACCCCACAAGAGCCGCTACCAACCTGAACCTGCACCTGAACCTGAACCTGAGGGGGAGTGGGCTCGAGTGGAGTGTGGTGGCAGGGGCGATACTGCAACCTCAACCGTTGATGAGGCCGGCGCTGCTGCCCCGCTGCCCGCGCTCCTGCTGCCCGACGACGCGCGGGCGACGGTTCCGCCGTGCGACGACGCGCGGACGACGGTTTCGCCGTGCGACGACGCGCGGATCTCGCAAACGGCCGTCGATTCCGCCGTCCATTCTGCCAAACGCTCTCCTGCAGGAGGGAGAAACGCGAATTAGCATCTACGAGCGTGAGAAGCGCTAGCTGAAATCGGTGCATCAAAAGCGCGGGTGCGACTAGAGGCACGATAAGCGCGCGGGAAGGAGCAGGCAGCGACGTTCAAGAGCACAACGGCGCGGACCCCATCGTACCTCGTCGTCGCTCTCGTCTTCGCCTCCACTCGCACCAACATTCCACGCCCGAAAACATTTCTCGCGACGCCCGATCAACGACTTTTCACGAAGGATGCGACGAAATCGACGGTCTAAAACAGCACGAGGCGACGTAGAATTTGCCTGCTGACGCTCCGCCAACTCCTTCTCCAAGCTCCGCGTTTTCTCGTCCCAAGAAACAGATCGGTCGCCAGCGAAAGAATAACAGCAGCGTAAGCGTTTCGTGGGAACTAGCGCTGAGCATCTGGCGGTGAGCAACTAGAGGTGAGGAGCAGAATGAAAGGCGAATGTTGAGTGAGGTGGGCGTGAGAAGCGGCACGTTGAGGAAGAAACGAGGCGAGTTTGCGGTGTGGCGGGGAATGTGCCATGACAAGTGCTGCCTGCCTTTCCAACCAACCTCGAGATTCCCGAATTGCTTTCGGCCACACAGCAACGGCGGGTCCAGGGCGGTGGAAAATCGATGAGCGAAATATTTTGGCGACAGTTTGAACTCGCTCGCGGGTGAAAAATCGTGGCAAATGGTTGTTACAAACGAGCTGACGACGAATGCGACTTTCGTGACGTTACCCCAAGCAGAATTCGGCAAGCGGAAAGAGGGTCATCGATCGCAAGTTTGCGGAAGCGCAACCCCTGAAAGTCCGACACAAAGGCGGATTTGCGCCGACTTTCCGGAGAGTGATCGCGAGTTCGTCAAAGTTCAGACACTTGGGCCGACGGCTAGGCTTCGGGTAGCGCAATGTGGGGTTTGCGGGGAAGGCTCCGCCAAATGTGCCCAGCATTCCTGACACTGGCAGTGCAATAATCATAATTCAGTACACCCTTGGAAAAACCATTTATATTTTCCCAGGTTCTTATGTGAATTGTCACATTAAAATTGATTGAATAGCTAGCTAGCAAGAAGAGGTAGATACATCTTAATAAATACTGCAGGGTTGAATAGCAAGAATTGAAGCAAGTTTGCAATAAAGGCTCTCTCACATGTTCATCAATCCCAGATTGTATTGCGTCACTAGGCTTTTGCTAAATAATGATTACCGTTAGGTTCTGTGAACAGACATGCCATACCATCCTAACAATAACCAGGATTGGAATGGGGCAGAAGCATGAAGAAGGCAAGGTAGATCTTTGCGGGAGTTAGATTGGAAGTTTCTTCTCATGTTTACCCAACTTCTGGTGGTTTGATTAGGAGGATTTTACAGCAAACCTCCAGTGAGTGCACTGCACAGCAAATTTTTGTCCGCACTTCACCACAATCACAAATAAAACTCCTTCCGCGCTGTCCCCTCTCCTGGTGAGCTACAATGCCAAGCTCAGTGCCAGATACCCCCACCACCCAAGGCAACGTCCCCTGGAGTGAGCTTTGACTTTAGCGGGTCAGGTAGTTGTGGTGTTGGGGCGTAGAACTTGCCGATGGTAGCCTGGATAGTTAGCAACGGAGGGAAGGAGGATGAAGGCGAAGAACAAAGGCAGTGTTGACAAGTGAAAGAACAATGGATATGCTGCATAATAAACAACCTTCTGAGCCTTAGCATTATATAAGCACCTCTCGCAGTCTAGTCAAACGGAGACAACCACCAGCAGATGAGCACACAGACGAGCATGCGAGGCACCCATGGAAAAACAACGAAAAGGAGGCACCCATGTAGAGAAAAAGGGAACAAAATGCCAACGAAAAGGGGGCACCTGTGGCAGCATCTCGTGCACGATGGTGAGCATCCAGTCGCCATTGGTGGAGACAATTGCAGCAGTGGGCGGGCGAATGGCCGCCCTGAGTGATGACAGGGAGGGATGGTCCAGTTGTCAGATTACAATTGTATCTCTAGGCTACAGTAGGGTCACTCCTTAGTGAGTACAACACTTTAGGGTTAGGTTTCCCCTACTTGTACTCACCTCTTGCCTAGTCCAATCCATCATTCCTAGTTGTATTCTTGACATGTTATCAGAGTAGGAACCGCTCCTACATGGGCCCACCGTTCCGCCTAGTGGTAGCGCCACGCCCTACACAGTAGCCAGCGCGCTGGCGCCCCTAGCTCTCACTGTCGCGACCCTTTGCAGCCCGTGCGCTGCCCCTGCGACCGCGCTGCCCCTGCAGCCGTGCTCGCCCCTACGACCGTGCTGCCCCTTGCAGCCGTGCTCGCCCCTGCTACCGTGCTGTCCCTGCAACCGCGCCTGCCCCTGTGGCCCGCGCGCTGCTCCTCCAGCCCGTACGCTGCCCCTGCAGCCCGTTCACGCTGCCCCTGCAGCCGCGCGTCGCCTCTGCAGCCAGCCCGCGCGTCGCCCCTGGAGCCCGCGCGCCGCCTGTGCAGCCCGTCCTCGCGGACCCTGCAGCCCGCGCGTCGCCCCTGGAGCCCGCGCGCCGCCTCTGCAGCCCGTCCTCGCGGACCCTGCAGCCCGCGCGTCGCCCCTGGAGCCCCCGCGCCGCCTCTGCAGCCCGTCCTCGCGGACCCTGCAGCCCGCGCGTCGACACTGGAGCCCGCGCGCCGCCTCTGCAGCCCGTCCTCGCGGACCCTGCAGCCCGCGCGTCGCCCCTGGAGCCCGCGCGCCGCCTCTGCAGCCCGTCCTCGCGGACCCTGCAGCCCGCGCGTCGCCCCTGGAGCCCGCGCGCCGCCTCTGCAGCCCGTCCTCGCGGACCCTGCAGCCCGCGCGTCGCCCCTGGAGCCCGCGCGCCGCCTCTGCAGCCCGTCCTCGCGGACCCTGCAGCCCGCGCGTCGCCCCTGGAGCCCGCGCGCCGCCTCTGCAGCCGGTCCGCGCGGCCCCTGCAGCCCGTACGAGCTGCCTTTGCAGCCAGCGCGGCGCCCCTGCAGCCCGCGCGTCCTGCCCCTGCAACCTGCGCCAGCGCCCTGCCCTGCGCGCGCTGACGCCCTGCCCTGCGCCAGCGCCCTGCCCTGCGCCCGCGCCCTGCCCTGCGCCAGCGCCCTGCTATACCCTAAATATAATTAAATTGTTTATTAAAAAAAAAAAAAAAAAAGAGGACCCTAGGTGCTTCTGCCCTAGGAGCTACTGCCTACTACTGCCCTGCTGTGGCCGCGCGCCGCCCTGCTCTGGCCGCGCGCCGCCCTGCTGCTGTTACTACTGCTGCTGCTCCTACTCGTGCTACTGGGAGTGGAGGAGGTGCTGCTGGGAGTGCAGGAGGTGCTGCTGGCGCTGTAGGAACTGGAGGTGCTGGACCTACTCCTGACCGTCACTGTCTGTCATGGCCACTTCCGCGGCAGTTGCTGCGGCCAGGGGTGGACAGCAGCGGGCACTGCTTCTCCCAGACAACCCCACCCCTAAGCAGCTTCGTGAGTGGGTTATTCAGCGAGGTCGTCCTGGTGGTGGAGGTTATCGTTTTGTTAGGACTGCTGCTCTTGGTGTTAGTGAGTCCGCTGCCGCTCCAGGTGCTAGTGAGTCTGCTGCAGCTCTAGGTGCCCGTGAGTCTACCAACGCTCTAGGTGCTAGTGCGTCTACTACCACAGGTCCTGCCTCAGCTGAGGTCTTGCACACTTTCACGCTTGACTCAGGCGCGTCACGTTGCTTCTTCCGTGATTGCACCACAGTCACACCACTCACAGCACCTGTCCCAGTCTCACTGGCTGACCCCTCTGGGGGCCCAGTGGTTGCGAGAGCCTCCACGGTCCTCCCTTGTCCAGCAGTCCCCTCTGGTTCTTTGTCAGGTCTCCACCTCCCCACGTTCTCGACGAACTTGGTGAGCAACGCTGCCATTCAGGATGTCTGGGTTGATACCTTTATTCCTGGAGGGCAGCGTGTGGCGATCTGTACGTGCTCCCGGACTGGCCGTCACCTGGCTACGTTCACTCGTCAGCCTGGGTCTAGCCTGTACACACTGACCACTGCGTCTGCACAGGTGGCTGAGTCAGGTCAGGTAGCTGCGTCGAGTCGAGCGTCTGCGTCAGGGCAGTTAGCTGCGTCTTGCTCGTGCAGAGTACTCACGCACGAGACTCAGCGCTGGCACCACCGTCTTGGTCACCCCTCCCTGCAGCGTCTGCGCGGCATGCACTCCCGGCTCCTGGTCTCTGGCCTCCCTGAGACCCTGCCCCCCCTCCCGCGCTCACTTGCGCCGCCGTGTCTTCCTTGCGTCGAGGGGCGGCAGCGCGCCGCTCCTCACTCCTCCGAGTTTCCTCCGACCACTGCTCCTCTGCAGACTCTCCACCTGGACGTGTGGGGCCCGGCCCCCGTCGGTGGGACGGACCAGGAGCGCTACTTCCTGCTGGTTGTTGACGACTACACACGCTACACCACAGTCTTCCCCTTGCGTCGCAAGGCGGACGTCAGCGGTGTTTTGATCCCTTGGATCCGTGCTACTCGTCTCCAGCTACACGAGCGCTTTCATCAGGACTTCCCAGTCCTGCGTCTGCACTCTGACAGGGGCGGTGAGTTCTCTTCTGGCGTCCTTGAGACGTTCTGCCAGGATGAGGGCATCGCCCAGTCGTTCACGCTTCCGGCCTCTCCGCAGCAAAATGGGATCGCTGAGCGTCGCATTGGCCTGATCATGGAGGTTGCTCGTACCTCCATGATCCATGCGGCTGCTCCCCATTTCCTGTGGCCGTTTGCGGTCCGATACGCCGCGCATCAGCTCAACCTCTGGCCCCGTGTCTCTGCTCCAGAGACCTCGCCCACACTTCGTTGGACGGGACAGCCTGGTGATGTGTCGTCGTTTCGGGTCTGGGGCGCGCTCTCCCTTGTTCGCGATACCAAAGCGAGCAAGCTCTCTCCTCGCACTCTCCGCTGTGTCTTCCTGGGCTTCCCCACCGACGCTCCACCCTGGCAGTTCTACCACCCTGCCTCGCGTCGTGTTCTGTCCTCTCAGGACGTCACCTTCGACGAGTCGGTCTGTTACTACCGACTTCACCCGCACGCGTCCCACCCGGTCCCCCTTGCACCCCTCTTCCTGGTACCAGTCCCCCCCCCGGTAGACCCCCCCCCCCCACAGGGTCCTGCTCCCTCAGGTGTGTCCCAGGTAGACCCACCCCCCTTGGATGAGCCAGTTGAGATCTCTTCTGACTACTCTGACTCACCTGAGGGGGGTGACGCCGTCGCCGACGACACGGCGACCACTCGCCACACTCCTCGCTTGGCGACCCCCCCGGGTTTCCCGCCACGGCCGTCTTCGCCGCCTCCGCAGCCTGCTGCTGTGGACTCTGGAGCTGAGACTACTGGAGCTGGGGCTGGGGGTGGTGAGTCTGGGGGTGCCCGCTCTCCTCGTCTGGCTACCCCCCCCGGGTTCCCACCTCTGCCGTCTTCGCCGCCTCTGCAGCCTACTGCTGTGGACACTGGAGCAGAGACTGAGGGTGCTGAGACTGAGGGTGCTGGGACTGAGGGTACTGAGCCTGAGGGTGCTGGGACTGAGGGTGCTGGGACTGAGGGTGCTGAGACTGAGGGTGCTGAGACTGAGGGTGCTGGGACTGAGGGTGCTGAGCCTGAGGGTGCTGGGACTGAGGGTACTGAGACTTTGGGTGCTGACTTTGGGGGTGCTGAGACTTCGGGTGCTGACTCTGGGGGTGCTGCGAGTCCTTCTGGAGGTCCTGGTGCTGGAGGTACTGGAGCTGCTGCTGGTGCTGGAGGTGCTGGAGCTGGAGGTACTAGAGGTGCTTCTGGTGCTGGAGGTGCTAGAGCTACCACTACTAGAGGTACTGGAGCTGGACAGCCACCGCAGCCTGCTCTACTTGAGACGCTCTCGCCGCAGGCGATTCGTGCGTGGGTCGTTCTGCGAGGCAGTCCTGGTGGTGGAGGGTACGGTCCTGCTGGTGCTGGAGCTACTAGTCCAGGAGTTGCTGTTGGTGCTGGAGGTGCTGGAGGTACTGCTGGAGGTGCTGGAGGTACTAGAGGTGCTGCTGGTGCAGGAGGTACTGGAGCTGCTAGTGCTGGGGGTACTGGAGCTGCTGCCGGTGCTGGAGGTACTGGAGCTGGTGGCACTGGAGGTGCTGGTGCTCCTGGTGCTGGAGCTGCGGGAGCTGCTGACCCTGGAGGTGCTGGAGCTACTGGTCCCGGAGGTGCTCGTACTGGAGGTGCTGGAGCTGCCGGAGCAGGTGGTACTGCTGGTGCTGGAGGTGCAGGAGGTGCTACTGGAGCTGCTGGCACAGGAGGTACTGGAGGTACTACTGGTGCTGGAGTCGCTGGAGCTGGAGCTGGAGGCACTGGAGGTGCTGGAGGTACTACTGGTGCTCGAGGTGCTGGCGCTGTCGGAGCTCGTGGTGCTGGAGGTGCTGGTGCTACTGGTGCTGGAGGTCTTGCTGGGGGTACTGGAGGAGCTGCTCGTGCTGGAGGTACGGGAGCTACTGGTGCTCTTCGCCACCTTCTCAGTCTTCCGCCAGGTGCTACTGGCTTCCCTGTGGCAGGTACTACTCCTCTGTTGCTGTGTCCGCCAGCGGACCAGTCACAGCCACCGCTGCTACCACACTCCCCACTGCCTGCTCCTGCTCCTTACACTGCGGTGTCAGAGTCCCTGACTGAGCGTCGAGAGCCTGAGACTCGTGCTTCCACCCCTGAGCGTCGAGAGCCTGAGTCTAGCTTTGACCTTGAGCCTGAGCCTAGAGCTGCTGTCCGTGCTCGTGTTCCTCGTGTTCGTCGTCCGCGTGCTCCGGCTGTCCCCGGCACTCACGATATGACACTCCGTCCTTCCTCTGTTCCTCAGCGTGTTGTACTACCGTTACCTCCTGCGTCCTCTCTGCCTGACGTTGCTGACCCTCCGTCTGACCTTGCTCGTGCGTCCAGTCCGACTGTTACTCGCCTTCTTGCTACGGTTGTGACGGACCCTATGTTCTCGTCTCCTGCTGCGTCTGCCCTAGTAGCTGAGCTTGTTGACTTTGCTGCTGTGTACCGCCTAGACTACCTTGCGAGTCTTGTCTCTGACCCTGTCCCTGCCTGTCCTCCGTCCGTCGGGGGTGAGACTGCTCTTGGCTGTACTGCCCTTGGCTGTGACGTTCTTGAGGACAGACAGGAGGAGTTGGAGTGCCTTGCTGCCGCTTCACCCCATCACGCGACCATGCTGCTTGCCCCTGAGGGAGACCCGGATGCACTTGACATCCCCACCCCGCGCTCCTACAGGGAGGCGATTTCGGGTGAGTACTCCTCTCAGTGGCAGACAGCCATGGATGCAGAGATGGCTTCCTGGAAGTCCACAGGCACCTACGTCGACGAAGTTCCCCCACCTGGGGCGAACATCGTCAGTGGCATGTGGATTTTCAGGGTGAAGCGGCCGCCGGGTTCTCCGCCTGCCTTCAAGGCACGTTACGTTGCTCGAGGCTTCAGTCAGCGTGAGGGGGTCGACTTCTTTCAGACCTTCTCCCCCACCTCGAAGATGACCACTCTTCGGGTGTTGCTACACGTTGCAGCTCAGCGTGACTACGAGCTGCACTCCCTCGACTTCTCGACAGCTTTCTTGCAGGGTAGCCTTCACGAGGCCATCTGGTTGCGCCGTCCACAGGGTTTCACTGGGTCGTTTCCTGAGGGTACCCAGTGGAGCCTACGGCGACCAGTGTACGGCCTGCGTCAGGCGCCCCGTGAGTGGCACGACACACTGAGGACGACACTTGCGGCTCTTGGGTTTGCTCCTTCGACTGCTGACCCGTCGCTGTTTCTACGCACCGACACTACTCTGCCGCCGTTCTACATCCTCGTGTACGTCGACGACTTGGTTTTTGCTACTGCTGACACTGAGGCACTGGCCCTAGTGAAGGCAGAGCTGCAGGAGAGACACACCTGCACTGACCTGGGTGAGCTGCGGAGCTATCTTGGCTTGCAGATCACCCGGGACAGACCACGGCGCACCATCACCCTCACTCAGTCACACATGGTGCACCAGGTCCTTCAGCGCTTCCGCTTCACTTGGTCCTCGCCACAGCCCACTCCTCTGGCTACCGGCCACTCGCTCTCAGCTCCACCTTCGGACGAGTCCGTAGAGCCGAGTGGTCCGTACCCAGAGCTTGTGGGTTGCCTCATGTACCTGATGACGTGCACACGACCTGACCTCGCGTACCCTCTCAGCCTCCTGGCTCGCTACGTGGCACCTGGTCGACACCGAAAGGTGCACTTTGATGCTGCGAAGAGTGTACTGCGTTACTTGTGCAGCACATCGGGCATGGGGCTCGTGCTTGGAGGACGGGGTTCGGTGGTCCTCACAGGACACTCTGACGCTTCTTGGGCCGACGACCAGACGACTCAGCGTTCGTCACAGGGTTACACCTTCAGTCTTGGCGCTGGTTTTGTCTCGTGGAGGTCCACTCGTTCTTCTTCTGTGCTTGGTTCCAGCTGTGAGGCCGAGATCTACGCTGGGGCCATGGCTGCACAGGAGCTACGCTGGCTGACCTACCTGCTGACCGACTTGGGGGAGCGGCCTCGTTCTCCTCCAGTTCTGTACGTCGACAACAAGGCAATGCTTTCCTTGTGTCGCAAGCAGAGACTGGAGCACAGAACGAAGCACATTGCTCTTCGCTACTTCCTTGCGCGTGAGCTGCAGCAGCGTGGTCAGCTGCGCCTTGCTTACGTGGCCTCTCGGGCCAACACTGCTGATGTCTTCACCAAGGCCCTTGGGGCTGGTGATCATCACCGTTTCTGCACTGCTCTTGGGCTTGTGCCCACTCTGCCTCACCTGTTGGTTGCTTGACTTGCTCTTGTTGTACACTGCTATATATCTTTATGCCTGCATGTTTTCTCTTGCTAGGTTGTGATCAGTGTACTGCCTTGCTATTATATACCTCTGCATGTGAACTGGCCTTGTGGCCACTTGCTTGTGCTCAGAATGCGTGGTGACTTTGTGATCCACCCTGAGCTGTGTTCTCTTCTGCAGACTGGTCTTGTGACCGCTTGTTGTGTTTGCTGTCCCCTACTTTGCCTATGGGGGTGTGTCAGATTACAATTGTATCTCTAGGCTACAGTAGGGTCACTCCTTAGTGAGTACAACACTTTAGGGTTAGGTTTCCCCTACTTGTACTCACCTCTTGCCTAGTCCAATCCATCATTCCTAGTTGTATTCTTGACACCAGGAATGCCGGCTCCATCACCATCCACACATCACGCGCGCGACCACCCCTGCGGGAACAGAAAGTGGGTTGCAGGTGGGAAACCGGAATTGTGTGTGTGAGTGTGGGGGGGGGCAGCGGACATGAACATGTGCTGACATGACAGCGCTACTTCTCCCAGACATCAGCATGCATTTTTTCTCCATTCCCAAAGGGCTTTTCTAGGGTTGAACGCAGTGCAATTACCACAAGGCAGATTGACCAGGAAGGGCTGGTAGTACTGTACCTTTGGCTTCTCCTGATGCCATCTGCTAGCACCTCCTCTAGCAACGCGCCCTTGTCCCTGGCGCCATGGGAGGCGAGAGAGAGAGATGGAGCGAGGGAGTGGGTGGGATAAGGGGCTGGTTAGTAACTGAGATATATGTCCCAAGTACTATATCCCGCCGTGCTTGCTTGTTTGTACTTTCTGGTTGCTAATACATGGACCGCTTGAGAGAAGAAAGGGGGGGCGGAGTCCGAGTGAGAGAGAAAGGGAGACGGAGAGAGTGAGAGGGAGGGATTGAGTAGTGAGAAAGGGAGACGGAGAGAGGAGAGAGAAAGGTCCTGGGTGGGGATGGGTTCATGCAGCACAGAGCTATAACTGTGTTACTGTGGGTGATAGGTCGTGTGATTAGAGCAGGCCAGAGCAATCAATGAGCGAAATATAACCATTGCTATAGAGGAAAGTCATGAGACTGAGACAAGTAATCAACAGCAACCTAACGGATTTTGAGTCAGGTAAGAGGGGGGAAGGAAGGATGACAAGGGAAAGGCATTACATGAGGGTGTAAGCATTGGCGAGGGCGAAATAATACACCTGCCAGCCAGCCATGCACGGGATTTGAAAAGGAGTGAGAAGTGATGATATGAAAGGCTTCATGATTACATCGAACAAGAAAAACAGCAAAATTATCGAATTTAGCAGTCATTTTACACCAGGGCAGGGAAGCCCAGGTCAGGGAAGCCCAGGCCAGGGAAGCCCAGGTCAGGGAAGCCCAGGCCAGGGAAGCCCAGGTCAGGGAAGCCCAGGTCAGGGAAGCCCACACACCTATGATGCGAGATTTAGACCAAAAGATTCAGAGCATGAAGTGCAGAGCACGAGATTCAGAGCACGAAAAGAACCTGGCTCTCACTCACCCGTGGTTTCGACAGGTCCAGCATGGGAGGAGCAGGGCGGGCCACTTCTCTCCAGTCCAAGCCCCCAAACGCGCCGCTCTCTTGCTTCTTCTCTTCCTTCTTGGCTGCACTGCTCCCTTTCGCCCCGCCTGCGCTCTCCCCAGTCCCCTGTCCCCCTCCGAATCCCTTCCCCCCTGTCCCCGTTGCGCAACACACCCCTCTCCGCCTGCTCCGCCCTTCCCCCCAACTCCGCCCCGCATAGCTCTCCGTACTCCCTTGTCTTCCGCGTTTCCCCCAGTCGCCCCCTGAGCTAATGTCGGGGCGGAGAGTAAGAGTTTCACCCCATTTTCCGCCTAGACATCCGCCTGACGCATTCGAAGCGCGCGATTGGAAGACTCGGGAAGGCGGAAATCGCGGTGACGCGGCGTGAGAAGCGGTGAGATGCGGTGAGGCCAGAAGCCGGGGCATGATGGAACGGGAATGGAGGTATTGGAACGAACGGCGAAGGAGTCAGAACTGGGAGGAAGAGAAGAGGGAGGAGGGAGGGAGGTGTGAAGAGCGACGGCCGTCGCAGCGGACGTGAAACGAGAAGCTCGAGGCGATCAGGCGTCCGTGAGTGAATAACGGTGTTACGCTGGTAGAGAAACTAAAGGAAGTGCACACGGTGGTTCGGTCCGTGAGTCGTGACGTGATGCGCGAAAATGGTGCTAGGAAGTGGCTGTGACGCTAGCACGGGTGGGATGGGGGGGTGAGGTGATCCTGTCCTGTCTGATCCAACATGGTCTGTTTTGAACTGCCCTGACTCGATATAAAAAGATTGCTGATGAGAGCAGTTCGATTGTTAGCATGATGAAAGGAAATGAAAGGAATGCGCGCTCCTGACTCGCCAGAAATATGAGACTGGGTTGAAATATTCAAAGTATGGTTTTCCGAATGTACTCGCTGGAAACATCTACGAGCTCGTTTGTAAAGCGGATGGTCCCTGTCCTGCACCTCCCTCTTCTCCCCTCTCCCTCTACTTCAAACCTCCTCTGCTCTCCTTTCTCTCTCTTTCCCTTTCCACTCTCCATCCACTCGCGTTTTCTGTAGCATCACGCCACTTCGCCGCGTTCCACGAGCAACTCGACAAGATGGTCAGCTCCTTGCCGCATCCTTTCCAACCGTCCGTTTATTATTATCTTGTTTATGCTAGTCGCCTGTGAAACGACGGATCCTTTCGTCGTGTTAGGTCCATTTGCAATCCGTGATTTGTGCGGGAAGCGACACGTTCACACGTTTTGTCGTCCATTTTCGAGTAGATTCGGAAGAAGATAGTGTTTCTCTCGCTTTCCCGCGTTATCCGCAGTTTTTCAAATTAGCCTGACTGAGTCGCCAGGTTTTAGGCCCCGCTATTGCGCGTGCGTTATCAGCCATGGACCAGTACCTAATTGCCCTGTAGACGATCGGATTTTCAAATTCATCGCCTACGATTCATCCCTCCCAAACCTCCCCTCTCTTTCCCGACCCACAGTCGTCTCAAAACCCCCTGTTTCCCCTCCTCCCGCTCCCGCCGCTATCCGTTTCCCGCTGATCTCCCTTCCGTGCGTGCGCAGACGAAGAGGACGAAGAAGGCGGGGATCGTGGGCAAGTACGGCACGCGGTACGGCGCGTCGCTGCGCAAGCAGGTGAAGAAGATGGAGGTCAGCCAGCACGCCAAGTACTTCTGCGAGTTCTGCGGCAAGGTGCGCGCCGTACCGTACCGTACTGTACCGTGCCGTGCCGTTGAGTTGAGGGGTGGCAGAGAGCGGGGGAAGGAGAGAAAGGGAGGGGGGTTGGGGAATGAAATGACGGCAGCAGGTGAAGAAGATGGAGGTCAGCCAGCACTCCAAGTACTTCTGCGAGTTCTGCGGCAAGGTGCGTGCCGTGCGGTGCCTTCCAGTGCCGTGCCGTTGAGTTTAGGGTTGGCAGGGAATGGGGGGAGCAGGAAAGGCGAGAGGTTGACGTCGTAGAAGGGGGCGGGGAATGGAGCTACGGCAGCACGGAAGCTGATTTTTTCTTAAAAAAAAAGGGACTGGCGTGGATGAGGTCACTGGATTGGGGTTTTTGAGGCGCCTCAACCATGAGACGCCTTTTGAGGCTCCTGAAAATGAAAGGGCCTGGCGCGCCGGAATAGAATATAGAACCAGATATTGCAAGGCACAACATGGGTTCATGACCCGCGTTCTGAAACGCCTCAAAGACGGGCATCTGAGCAGACGACGCAGCCGTACGCGATCGCTCCGCGTTGATGCGATGCGAATTGACGGGCTGCGGTGAACCGTACGTGCGGGAGAGCGGCCTTTGTAGTATAGATTGAAGGCATCGGGGGGCGGGAAGATTCGCGGGGAAGTGGGGATTCAGGGTTTTCGCTGGTGTGGCTCGTTGCGGTAATTGGAGATGGCAAAGGTGGGGGGACACGCCGGATGCGACGATGATGGACGCAAGGCAGCAGAGGGGAGTACGGGGAGTAGGGCAGGGAAGCAGCAGGGGAGCACGGTGTATTCTTAGACACCGGATCCAGAGATCGAGATAGGAAGAAACGATAGGGGGATGTATGGGTTGGTGGTGGTGGTGGTGCGTGGAGCGAAGATTGGCACGAGAGGGAGTGTTGCGAATGTTGCGTGCGATGCGCGGATCAGGCAATGGCGTGTTGGGCGGGCGCACTCGTCGCTTGATCAGCCACTTAGTTGCGCTGAAGTGAAGGGAAGGGTTTTGGAGACGAGGAGAAGGGGGGAAAGCGAGGTTGGGAGGCGGGTCGGCTGTTTGCAAGAGGGCTCTCGTTGTGTGTGCATGAGTCGAGTGCCTTGGTGAAGATATCAGCAGTGTTGGCCTGAGAGGCCTCGTTCTCCTCCAGTTCTGTACGTCGACAACAAGGCCATGATTGCCTTGTGTCAGGAGCACAGACTGGAGCACAGAATGAAGCACATCGCTCTGCGTTATTTCCTTGCTCGAGAGTTGCAGCAGCGTGGTCAGCTTCGTCTTGTTTACGTGGCCTATCCATCGGAATTCGGAGTACAAGCGCTAAGGACTGAAGGGGAAGGGGAGCAAGTTGGACGCGTCTGACAGGCTGCCACAGGCTCTAGATGCCGCATGGTCTGCTCTGGGCTTGCGTGGCAAACACGGCTTTGGGGTGAGCCTGGGAGAGGTGAATGAATGGTGACTGCGTGCGTGGGAGTAGTGGGTTGGGTTCCAAGTGGCTTGAGCCTGGGAGAGGTGTGACCGAGGCAGAGAGTGGGCCGTTGACCCGGGGCGTATTGAACAGTTTCGACCAACTTCACTGAAAACCCTTGGACTTTGTCCTTCCACTCCTCTCCCCTTGCTTGCTCCCCCACAGTGAATTCCTGTTCCTTCTCTCCCTCCATTCCCTTTCTTTCTCCATGCTCTTCACGTTTCCTCGTTTTGGGCTCATCGCTCTATTTTCCCGAATCCCCTCTTCCGCCTCCTCTGGCTTTCCATCCCCCCACCCACCGCGACCCCTGCTGCATGCAGTTCTCTATGAAGCGGCAGGTGGTGGGCATTTGGCACTGCAAGCACTGCAACAAGACCAAGGCCGGCGGCGCTTACGTGCTCAAGTGAGATTCCTGCCTGCGCTGCTGCTCCCACGCCTTGTGCTTCCGCCCCTGCTTCCGCCATGCCCGCTGTTGCCATGCCTGCTGCCGTGCCTAGTCTTTTTTCCTGACTTTTCCTGAGCCTATTTCAAGGTTATGCCATGCTATCACTCTGCTTTCTTCTCCATGTTACGCATTCATGTCATGTGAGGTGATGCATCTCGTGCATGCACGGTGCTCCCTGCTCATCCTGCCGTTTGCATTCCCTCTTCCACCAACCGCCGGCCCCATTCTTCTCCTTCCATTCCCTCCCTGTTCTTTCGTTCCCCAAAAATGTTACTCTTCCCTCAATGTGTCTGCTCCCTGTGCCGGTGTGCACTGCCCCTCTGTGCGCTCTGCCCCTCTGTGCGCTCTACAGCACGGCGGCAGCAGTCACGGTGCGCAGTACCATTCGCCGTCTGCGCGAGCAGGTTGAGATCTAAGTGCCCGAGCCGAGCTTGTCTTCACGAGGCACACTCCTTTCAAGATGTAGTACCACTCTCCTGTTGCTATTGCCTGTGCTAGTGACACGCCAGCCCGTGCGATGTGCTGCAAACCCTGGATTTGGTGCTAGCCTGCCAGGCTGTTTCTGCACGAGAAGTTTCATCTAGTTGTGCGTTGGTGCGCTGTTTACACGCAAGTCGTGTTTGTCGCAGGGAATGTTGTAATGCATAAAGGCTTGTCCTTCAACAAGAAGTGTGTATCTATATCGGTGGCAAGAACACAAATACTCGTTTTCACATACAGTAAGGAAAATCATAAGTGTTGATGGATCTGTCTGAAACTAACGTTATTCACTAACGAGTCTGACCAACTCTGCCAAAGATGAAGCATTCGGTGCCCTTCCTTCAACCAAATCACGCACAAGAGCGTTGAAATTTGTTCTCTTCCCCCGCCGCGGCGCAACTGCAGCGCTGCCGCGATGCCCGCGCGATCGTGGGCGGGCGCTGTAGCGCTGCGCTTGTCGCGCAGTGGCGGAGCCGCGGGGCCGGCCTTCCGCGCGCCAGCGGCCGTCCTGCGCGCGAGACTGCTCTGTAAGACAGGCAGCGGTATCTTGCGCACACGCTGTCACCCCTGCTCCCTTCCGCCTCTCGTTTCGCTCCTCCTTGCGCCTCCCCCGTCATCTCTTTCGCAGTTCTCCACGCTTCAATGTCTCGTCCCGTTTCTCCTCTTCTGCCCCGCACCGCTTCTCATCCCCTTCCGCCCGTCCGCCGTCCCCACGCCAGCGTCTCTCTCCGCGCCATCCGCGACATCCGCGCCAGGCGCACCTGCCGCAACATCCATATCAACACCATCGGTACCACCATACCCAGCGCCAGAGCCGCCAACGATCACGTCCCGTGTGGCGTCGCTCCTCCAATGGCTGCAGGAGAATGGCGGGCATGCAGGTGCGAGGGTGCGAGGGTGGGTGGATGGGTGGAGATGGGTGGGTGGATGGGTGCGTGGATGGGTGGATGGGTGGTGGATGGGGATGGGTGGGCGTACGCATGGAGGGGGATGTGTGCGCGCCTATGCTCATGTAGGCACGAGGGACATACAGGCAACCAACCCCACCAGACCGACACGGCACCTGTCGTGTCACTACCCCAGTGCATCCCACCCCACCCCACACCACCTCACCCCATCCCTCTTCCTCAACCGCACCAGGCGCCATCGCCGTAACCCCCGACTCCCACAGCAGCCTCTGTCTCACCACCATATCTCTGTCCCCTGCCCCCTCTCTCTCTCTTCCCCGGTATTTTCCCCCTCCCCCACCCCAGGCGCCATCGCTGTGACACCCCTGACTCCCACGGCGGCCTCTATCTGATAATCTGACCACCAATTATTTAGATTTTCCTTTCCCTGACCCCTCCCACCCACCCACCCACCCACCCACCCTTCCCTCCTTTCCCATCAAACCGCCCCACTCCCTCTCCTCCACCCCAGGCGCCATCGCTGTAACCCCTGACTCCCACGGCGGCCTCTGTCTCACCACGAGTCGCAGCGTGGGCAAAGGCGCGCTGCTCCTCTCCGTGCCTCCCCGCCTGCAGCTCGGCCGAGCCTGGCCCGCAGGCTCGGAGGGGGCTGGAGGGACGGCAAGAGAAGGGAGAGAAGGGGAAGGAGCAGGAGCAGCAGGAGCAGGAGGAGCAGGAGGAGGAGCAGTAGGAGCAGAAGGAGCAGGAGGGGAAGCGGAGGAAGAAGCAAGGGCCTTTGTGGCAATCAGCAAGATGGGGCAGCTTGTGCCTTGTGAGTGCCATGACATGACATGACATGACATGACATGACATGACATGTAGTAGAATCAACTCATGTTGCTTTCTTTATACTGTTTATTCTGTGTGTTTGGATGTGCTTTCACGTGGTAATAACCCAACAAAACCCACAACTTTCCCCACTCTCATACACCTCCCTGCTCTCCTCCTCCCTCACTCCCTTCCTTTCCACCAACCACCCACCCACCTTGCAGCGTCCCTCTGGTCTCTCCGCCTTGGCCTGCATTTGCTGCACCAGCAACGGCGACATGCAACCCCCGACACTCCCACAACACCCGCAGCATCTCCATTCTCCTCCCCATCTCCCCCCGCCTCCCCATCCTCTCCCTCCTCTTCCTCCTCCGCTACCCCAGCCACTCCCTCTCCTCCCCCATCTCCCCCTCTCCCTGCCCCCCAATGGGACCCATACATCGCTCTCCTCCCGCGATCCCTCCCCCTCCCCATCTTCTTCTCGCCTGCTGCTGTCGCTGCTCTCGGGTACCCGCCACTGCAGGCCGAGGTAGGTTGAGTTGAGGGAGGTTGATTAGGTTGGGGTAGGTGCGGTCCTGGGAAGGTTGATCTCATAAAAAACAGCCCATGCTCGCACCTTCTTCTTCTCCCCATCTATGTGCCCCTCGCCTTTCCCGGGAACGGGAAATGGGAGCAGCAATTGGGGAATATGGGGAAGCAGTAGGGGATGGGCAGGCATGGACGAGTGGATGGAAAGGAATGGCAGGCAGTGAGAGTGGCACATGCAACCCCACGACTTCCTTCCCCATGTTCCTTTCAACTCCCTCTCTTCCTCTCCCACTCCCACTCCCACTCCCACTCCCACTCCCACTCCTCCTCCCCTGTCCACGTGTCAGTTGGCCAAGCGCAGCACATTCCTGCGCCGCTTTGCCTCTGAGTTCATGCCAGACGTGGTGGAGTCGCTGCAGGTAACCACGTTGCTGGTGAGAGGTGGTGGACCACGTCGAGCAGGAACTCAATGCACTCACTGCTAGGTCATTGCAGGTTGCACTCGTTTCGCCTCTGAGTTCATGCCAGACGAGGTGGAGTCGCTGCAGGTAACTAACCAGGCTGCTCTGCTGCCCTCCATGTGTATTTCGAGTCGTGTTTTGAGTCGACTCAAAACATTCCACTGCCGCTCCCTTCTGAGTTCCTGCCAGACGTGGTGGAGTCGCTGCAGGTACGCAGGTTGCTCTGCTGCCCTCCATGTGTAAAACTGCTGCTGCGCTGCGTGCGAGGTTGCTTACGACTCTTACAATTCCAAGCAAATGACAAAATCATATTTTTTTTCTCTCACCTTTGAAGTAGTCTAAGCCCGTTGGCCTGCTGGCTACCGTTGCTGCTGCTGCTGCTGCTGCTTCCTTTGAAGTCTCTACTCAAACACTGCTGCAAGATTTAGTTGACTTGAATTGAACCTCGGTTCTGTTTTCCGCTCCCCTCTCCTCCTGCAGGCATCCCAGCGCTGCCACCTCTTCGGCAATGAGCCAGCCTCCCCCTCGGACCTTGCATGGGCCATGGGCTCTGTTCTCACCGTCTCATCCCGCCTCCTCCCACTCCCCCTTTCTCTCCTCCAGGCATCCCAACGCTGCCGCCTCTTCGGCAATGAGCCAGCCTCCCCCTCGGACCTTGCATGGGCCATGGGTTGTGCCTCCTCCCGTGCCTTCCGAGTGCCTGCCATCACGAGGGAGAGAAAGGGAGATGCGGGCGATAGTGGGTTGTCGGATGGAAGAGGAGGGAGTGTGGGGAAGGAGGAGAAGGAAGGGGGAGGTGGGGGTGGAGAGGGGATGAAGAGGAGGAGAGGGGAGGAAGGCGAGAGGGTGTTTCTGCCAGTGATTGATCTGGCGAATCATGATGCCAATCCAACGGCTAAGATCTCTCTTTTGCCAGATGGCACTGCAGAGGTGGGCGGCATGTCATGTGGGCTACTCACTATGGCGATTTTTTCACGCGACCAAAAAAACCACTTCCCACACTTCCCTCGCTTCCCACACTTCCCTCGCTTCCCACACTTCCCACACTTCCCACACGAGGTAAGAACACAACACAACTGCTCTCCAACCCAACCCAATCGTCTCTGCTGATTCCCTCTTTCTCCTCACCCTCCTCTCCCTTCTCCCCTTTCTTCCCCTTCTCCTCTCTCGCCCTCCTCCCTCCTCTCTCCCCCACTCCAGCTGAGGACTCTCCTCCCACTGCCCCCCAGGCACGCCATTACCATAGACTACGGGCGTCTCTCCACGGACCTGTTTCTCCTGGACTATGGCTTTGCGCCCGCTTCCAACGCCTTTGACTCCCTCCCCATGTCTGCCCTGTCCTGTCGCCCCCACTCCAGCTCCGCGCCCTCCTCCCACTGCCTCCCAGGCACGCCATTACCATAGACTACGGGCGTCTCTCCACGGACCTGTTTCTCCTGGACTATGGCTTTGCGCCTGCAAACAACGCCTACGACACGCTCCCCATGTCCTGCGGCCTTCCCCTCATTGAAGCTGCTCGCGCTGCTGCCGGGCTGGATGGGTTGGACGGGCGCGATGGGGGGGGCGGAGCAGGGGGGAGGGGGAGGCGGAGGGGCGAGGGAGACGGGAACAGAGGAGAAGAGGGCCAGGAGGCTAGAAGGGCCCTTGGATCCCGAGGCAGGGGGGGGCGCTAGGGCTCGAATGGAAGTGATTGCAAAGCTGGGACTATCCGGACCAAATGCAGATAGAAAGATGACCCTGGGCGGCCCGGGTCACATAGACCCTCGACTGCTGGCCGCTCTGAGAGTGCTGTACGCTCCAGCATCGGTGGATGTGAGGCAGATTCCGCTGCAGGAGCTGCAGGGGTTGGATGCGGTGGGGAGGCTTGGGCGGGAGTGTGAGCAGAAGACAGCGAGGACGCTGCTGGGGCTGTGCTTTATCTTTCTGCAGAGCTTCTCCCAAGTGCCTCCTGCTGAGGGTGCCTCTGCTGCTGCTACTGCTGCTGCTGCTGCTGCTGCTGATAAGTCTGCAAAAGGTACAGCTGTTGCCACTGCTGGTGCTGGTGCTGGCGCTAATACAACTCCTGGTGGAGCCGCTGCTGACTCCAGTGCAGCAGCGGCAGTGCGGCTGGCAGCCGAGGCGGCGGGGATGGAGAGTGGCGCAGCGGAGAGGGCGATAGGTGGGATGACGGCGCAGGAAGCAAGGCTGGTGGAGGCGTTCCGTGCAGAGAAGAGAGGGCTCGTGCTGCGAGTGATGTCGTTCCTGCAGGGCCGATTGGATAAGTGAGATACGGCTGCGGTGCGTGCGGCCTTGTGCAACTCATGCAACTCATGCAACTCATGCAACTCATGCAACTCATGCAACTGCCAACTCATGCATCCTCTTGCGGCTTGGGGAAAGTGGATTGGGGTTTGGGGGGATCACTACGGTACAAGTGAATAGTCAATGTTCCACGAAGTCAGCTTCTTGTGGTGCTAGTTGGGCTGAGAACACTGTTCCAGGTGCATTCTTTATTCTTTAGCTCGATTAATTCATAAGGTTTTGTTGTACCCGCCACCACACAATCTCATCTTTCAGCATTTTCTAGTGTACACACTGATACGGCCTTGCAATGAAAATCAGGCCTTGGTGAATAATGAGCCGAAGTACCTACCGGTATAGCCATATAAATCCAATTCAATTGTCACTTGCATGCAGAGCAGTGCGGAATTTAATCTGTTTTTAAACATACTCTAGAAATTAAGAAGCATAGCACATTACATCAGGACTTGCAGAGACACTAGAGCGATGCAGCAGAGTCCTGATAACGAGGTACCATGAGCAGTGCTGCTCACTCTCAGGAACCTCTTTTTATACCCAGCTGTTACCCTCCCTGTACCCATACAGATACTGTCAGGGAATGGGACTACTTGCTCTGAACCAGATGCAAGGCTCCATTCCTTATGCCCCACTCCCAAAATGAGATTCCCATTTGGATTCGGATCGGATCGGACACAGCAGCAGCCCACGCAGCAGCCCACATGGCACATGACCACCCCTACCTTGTTGCACACACAGTGACACCAGGATAGAAGCCACAGCCCACAGCAGAGATGTAATCAGGTGCATGCTCGATGCACGCACTGCCCCAACCACCATGCCCTATACGCCCCCATGCCCCCTCATGCACCCTCACGACCCCCCATGCCCCCTCATGCCCCCCCATGCCCCCCCACGCACCCTCACGACCCCCCATGATCCCCCACCCCCCATGACCGTTTTCACTCAGCATCATCATGCTGGTATGGCGATTGTCACTGCCAGCATCTGAGCACGGCAAACCCCTTTTCTTGAGAAGTCTCAAAACTCGATCCCCCACCCCCATGACCGTTTTCACTCAGCATCATCATGCTGGTATGGCGGAATGGCGATAGTCACTGCCAGCATCTGAGCACGGCAATCCCCCCATGCCCTGGTTCGCATGCACACACGCGCGACGGCAGCACATCCGGCGATGCTGCTGCTGCTGCTGACGACTCTTCTTCTGACGCCAGGGTTATTGCCATTCCTGTTACTGCTGCTTCTCTCGACGCTGCGGCTGATTCATCTGCTCCTGGCGCCTCTGAAGCCTCATTCTGCTGCTGCTGCTGTTGCCGTTGCCCCTCGCCTGCAGCAGTGGCGGCAGGAGAGAGTGGTTGAAGCGGGACCAAAGGGTCTGAGGGCAATGACCCCACCACACCCAACATCCCTGCTCTGCCCAATCCCCCTCCAATCACACCGGCACCCGCACCAGCAGCACCAGCAGCACCACCAGCACCACCACCAGCACCACCAGCAGAACCACTCCCAGCGCCGAGAAATGCGGCAACGGCCGCAGCAGACCCGCGGGAGATGGGCGCGGAGAGGGCGAGGCGGTGGGGCGCGTGGAAGAGCGCGCCGCGGCGGAAGAACCCCCCTGCGAGCGGGCACATGGCGGTGCGCTGCATGGGGCGACACGTGCCCGTGAAGGGGTGGTTGGGGGAGCGGCGCACGTGGTGTGATGCCACGCAGGCCAGCGGGATGAGCCCGGGGAGCGGCAGGATGTGCGGACACACGGCCTGGGGAGTGGGGGGGAATGGGGGAAGTGGGGAGGAGTTTAGAGGAGTGAAGAGAGTGGGGAGGTGAGGGGAACAGCGGGTGTGGAAGCGGGAAAAAGGTAGCCTGTGCGTTTTGGCTCTTGGAGAGGGTAGGGTGCTAGAGAAATGGAGAGAAGCTAGAGAGACCGAATCACTTGGTATCGCGTGCAATGTGCTTCTGTGTGTTTCCCCCGCCGCATACCGGTTCATGCCCGCTGAACGAGCACGGCGCGCCGCGCAGCACATACGCGTCCGTAACGTACGGCCCCACCGGTACCGGCTTCACCATGCGCCGCTTCAAATCGCACTGCACCGCACCCCCGCCCGCGCCGCCGATTCCGCCGTTGAGGAGCGCGGAGAGCTGGTGGCGGAGATCTGCGGTGAAGCCAACGCACTCGCGCACCGCGACGCAGTGGCGCGCGCAGCCGTCGATGCCCGTCGCGGATTCGACGGACGCGATTGTACCCGCGGGATACGCAGTGTTGGGCGATTTGAAGAACAGCGATACGGGGTCTGAGGGGGAAGCGGGAGATGGGGACAATCGGGGGGAAAAAGGGAGAGGGATAGAGGGTGGGGGAGGAGGCATGAGAGGTAGCGAGGGGCCTTAGAAACCATCTTATTACACGTGTTGCGTGTGGTATGGGAGATTATGATTGTTTGTTACTGACAGACACATTTGCGGGTGGCATGGATCGATGCTCGCTTTTGATTCGCTATTCGCGGTGAAGTCCACGCACTCACGCACAACGCGTCGCATAACGAACGCTCATCGTGCCCATTCGTATCACCGCATAACGTGTTCACGCACCTTGTTTGACGAGCCGCACGTTATCCACCACCGGGCCGCACTCCCCGGGCGAGAGCGACCGGAACTCCACGCGAGTGGGGCCCATCTGCGCCTCGAACGCGACGCGCTCCACGCGCCAGCTCATGGCGCCGCCCGCCGTGCCGAGCGCGTCGGCCTCGAGCGTGCGCACCGCGATAACGTCCGTGTTCGCCGCGACGATTGAGACGTTGAGCGCGTGCAGATCGTTGATGCCGCCTGTGGTAAGAGCAGCGGGGAAGGGGGTCAAGGGGTGGGGGAAGAGCAGCAGGGGAGAGGGAGGAAGGAGCGCGGGGAGGGGCGAATCAACAGCATGAACAGCTGACAGAGAGGGGGGAAGGAGAAGCGCCGGGGAGTGGCGGAACTATTGCTCGACGGGGAGAAGGAGAAGCGGTGGGCAGAGCAGATAGCGCCACGTACAAGGGTCGGCGGACAAGGCGAAGGTGAGCACGTAGAACGCGTCCTCTTCCGTCGCCACGTGCTGACTCAGCACGCCGGGCCCCGCGCCGTTCAGCGCCACGCTGTAGCTCCCCTCCGCGGCGCGCCACGTGTCGCTGCGCACGTACTTAATCGACCCCTCTTTCACCTCCCATCCCTCCAGCGCGGGAACCGGGTGCTGCGCGGCGCCGCCCTCCGCGGAGATTATCGGCGCGCTTATGTCTTTAGAACCAGGCGACTCGAAGTTGCCATTGTGAATAATGTTGCCCGGTATCGCCGCCGCTGCTTCGTGGGAAAGGAAGGAGATGCGGAGGGGCAGCTTGGATCACTTACGAACCAGCGACGAGGGATAGAGGATGAGAAGTCACGAAGAGTAGGGTTAAGTTTGGGTCACGGGTGGAAGGGAAGAGAAGGAACGGGAAGGACCACTAAGAAGAGAAGAGGAGGGAAGGATAGGAGGGTCAGTTTGGACTAGTCCGCAAGACGAAGAAGTGATGAAAGCGCGTCGACTGGGAGACGAACCAGAAAGAACTAGGGAGGAGGGTGGACGAGGGGAGTAAAGGTGAAAGTGGGGAAGAGGGGTGGGGAGGGAGAGGAGGGGGAGAAGAGAGAGAGAGAGACACAGACGATCAGCGTCAAATTGATTGAGTCGGAGTGTGTTCGCAACCAAGGGATATGGCGTTGGGCGGTGAGACGTGGTGGCATGGAGAGGCGACGCAGATGAGATGTCGCACCTCTCGAGTGGATCGGCGACGTTGCGACGAGCGATGCGACGACGAGAAGCAGCGCGCCATATGCCCGCAGCATGGTGGCGTCGCACGATGAAGCACCGGACGGAGCGAGAGCGAGAGCGAGAGATGGGGAGGGGGAGAGAGGGAAGGAGTGGGAGAGGGATAGGGAGCGGAAGAGAGGGAGAGGAGGAGGAATCCGCGCTTTCCCTGCGGTGCGGTGCGCTCTCCTGTCCTGCCGCCCCTCGTTCCCCAGAACTACGCGATCACCTTGTGCAGGCCTCTGCAGCGCGCTACGCGAGGAACGGCCGTCGCAACTCAGCCCAGCTCAACCAGAGTTCCCTGGAGTTTCTTAACCGTTAAATGTGAAAGTCGTTCATGGCTGTTCTACAGCCCGTGTTTGCAGCCTGTCGGGCGAAAGAGCTTTCTGTGTCACCTGCACCGTTCCCCCGAGTTCAGTTACGCTTGAGTTTAGGCGATGCGCACACGCGTTCAATCAGTCGATCACCTTACAGAAATGCTTCTCTGATGGATCAAAGGAATAGTACTAAGAGAGCAGGCAGGAGGTGAGCACGTGACAGGGTCCAGCAGCGAGATTTTGCCGTTTCAGCGGTTATGGAATTATACGGTTGCTGCTGTTCCGTGCTTTCGCGCGTGTTAGTCTAGACCTATGAGATCGGCTGAAATTGGTTGCGGTCGGTTCGAGTTAAGGAGTTGTGCTAGTAAGCCTGCTGTGTTGGCGCGCGAGATAGTATAGAAGGGCCAAGCTCCGGGATGGCCGAGACAGCTAAGGGTAATCTTCTAGAGGATTGCAAAAGGCTTCTCGGGCGAAGCTACTTTTCCTTCGAGGGCCTTGCTGCCTGTCGCGAGTCGGCGGATGGAGCAAACGATGCGCGGAAGGGACGGCCGATGGCATGTGGTGGAGGAAGGGGCTGCGCTGTGAGAAGAGGAGGAATCAGTGAGCGACGTCGCATCGCATCGCATCACATGCCTTGCTTGACGAATTTGCCATGGTGAGGATGGCTGGTGACTGTTCCGTGGAGTGGTCTGCGGGCAAAACTTGAAGTGCGAGTGAATGGGTTGGTGTATGCCCGTCCCGTGGTGGGCATGCGGTTCGCAGGGGGTGTGCTGCTGTGGTGTGTGGTTGCGAGTCTACCAGGCAAACACGAGAGATCAGCGTCGCCTTGCCGCCGCCATGGGATGTGGGATGGAAGCGCTGATTGATGAAAGGCTGCGTGCGAGGCGGCCGTCGTGTTGATCTGTGGCATGTCCGTGGGTCGCGGCGGCATCAGCCGTCACTAAGTTCGATTTCCGAACCTGCTTGGTTTAGCACGGTTCGAGTGTAGATCAGGGCTGGTATTTACTGCTGCAATCAGAGGTGATGGTTTGGAAAAAAGGCTCGGGGCTGTTTGCTCCCACTTTGGGCAGCAGCAAGGCTACCTTGCTGGGCTATGGGCTTACCTAGGGAGTGACGTGCGGAGTTGGTTCGGTCGACCTCGAGTACGTGCCCATACCCAACCAAAAGGCAAGCTTCTGGTTCGGTATTGCGGTGCACACCAAACGACGGCACGGAGAATTATGGTACGGAAGAGTCAACCTTTGTATCGCCTTGGGAGTCACGTGAGGATGTTTTTGGGGCTGGCCAGGTGACGGACGGACTCTCCCTCGGGTGTAGAAACTCACCTCAACCAGACCAGACAGGTATGGAAGATACCCGAGTCGCGAGTTTGAGGCGCAGAAGTCAGGCATGGGGGGCCGAGCCAAAACTACACGAAGTCGCAGGAAACCTGCAGGTTCGGGGACTGCCTGCAAAACCATACATGTTCGAGGCTTGG